AAGTAAACTTGGTTCAATATATGCATGTGTGAAATTCAGAGATGTCTCTGGTTTGGTGCAATATTGCCTCTTTTTTTTTTTTCCACAGAAGTATTCATTTGCTGCAGTTTGCTCCTGCTGCTGTAGAAACATACGCTTTCTTTAAAATAACAAGATTAAGCAGAGTTAGATTCTTTGCTATCATATTGCCATAACAACAACAACAAAATTTCTTAACTATCGAAATAGACTTTTGACAGACAAATGTGAAATGTTCTCAGAGTGGAAGGAGGGCATACGTTTCTGTCTCAACTCTTGAAGAGATTGCTAGAAAAGGCCAGAGTTTTGCAGGGATACTATAAGGGTGGTTGCTTCTGTTAAGATAAAGTTTTGCTATTCTAGACATGTTGGTTTTTTTTCCCCAAAAGAAACACAGATTTTTTTCCCTATAGGGAAAAATGAAGGTATATATTGGCTTTTAAGAAAATTAGGTTCAACTATGTGTATTTATATTTTCAGGATCCAAACTCTTATTTATGGATGCCATTTTATAATTGTAACTTAAAAATTATTCCTTTAGTAACTTCTCCTCAGCGGATGCAAGTTGAAGATGATGGATTTCCTGTCCAAGGCTGTGAGGACATCTTGGTAGTTGGACTGGCAGTATGTTGGGGTGGAAAGGATGCCTACTATATCTCTTTGCAGCAGATACAAGACCAGACTGGTAAGTGAGCAGACTGGCTGTGCTGTGCTACGTGACACTGAATTTCAAGAAAAGTAGCTTCAGTAGATCCACAGAATCACAGAATGGTAGGGGGTAGAAGGGATCTCTGGAGGTCATGTAGTTCAACCCCCCTGCTAAAGCAGGTTCAAGTAGAGCAGGTTGCCCAGGAACGTGTCCAGGCAGGGTTTGAATACCTCCAGAGAAGGAGACTCCACACTCTCTGGGCAGCCTGTTCCAGTGCTCTGCCCCCCTCAAAGTAAAGAAGTTTTTCCTCGTGTTCAGATGGAACTTCTTGTGTTTCAGTTTGTGCCCATTGCCTCTTGTCCTATCACTGGGCACCACTGAGAAGAGTTTGGCCCTATCCTCTTGAGACCTGCCCTTTAGATATCTATAAGCATTTATGTGATCCCCCCTCAGTCTTCTCCAGGCTAAATAGACCCAGGTCTCTCAGGCTTTCCTCATAAGAGAGATGCTCCAGTCCCCTGATCATCTCTGTAGCCCTCCACTGGACTGTCTCCAGTAGTTCCTTGTCTTTCTTGAGCTGGGGTGGCCAGAACTGGACACAATACTCTGGATGTGGCCACAATCAGGGCAGAGTAAAGGGTGAGCATAACCTCTTTTGACCTGCTGGCCACACTCTTCTCAATGCACCCCAGGAAGCCATTGGCCCTCTTGGTCACAAGGGCACATTGCTGGCTCATAGTCAAATTGTTGTCCACCAGGACTCCCAGGCCCTTTCTCTGCAGGTTATTCCTCCCTAGGGGCAGGACCCTGCATTTGCCTTTGTGAAATTCTTTAGGCTCCTCTCTGCCCAACTCTCCAGCCTGTCCAGGTCTACATGAATGACAGCAGTGTCTTCTGGTCTGTCAGCCACCCCTCCCATTTTTGTATCATCAGCAAACTTGCTGAGGGTCGACTCTGTCCCCTCATCCAGGTCTTTGATGAACATGTTGAACAAGATTAGACCCAGTACTGACCCCTATCAGGAACACCACTAGCTACACGTTCTACAGGTAGGTTCTTGGAAGTCTTTTGAGTGTCCCAAACCCAGCTCAGACATGTGATGGAGTGATTTAACCATATTATTCGGCAGTCTTAGGTACTGAACACCCTTGAACATGTTGCTGTGGATGCACCTCTGGTGCTATATAGTAAGACCAGGTAAATGGGCTCAAGCACTGGACTGCTGAGCAGGCGTACGCCAAGGTGTTAGCTTATTGCTGTGTTCTCTTTAGTTTGCTTGCTTTTCTATTTCATCCTCTTCCAATTTTTGCTTGGCAGAACAAATCTGACATTTGAATGCTAAACATAACCCAATCTGTGCTACGTGGACTCGTGGCTAGGGTTTGACTCCTGGCTCTCCTTTGTTTAGTAGTGCAGACACAGCGTATTGCTTTTTGGGAGCCTTGTCAGGTTTGATAAAATATATAATATTGGTATAGATTTATTGTTACTTGTTCACAGTCCAGCTGTACTTTTTGTGCTTTAGGTGATTGGATTCAAGATTTTCCTTTTGCTTTTCTTATCATGCAGTGGATTAAAAGGTGATTTTTTTTTTTTTTTCTTGTATTTCCTGCCTTAGAAATCAGTATGAGTTTGGCACCACCACCTTTGGACAAAAACCTGTCTGTAGCAGAGAGACTGTATCATCTGCAGCTGTACCTGCAGAAGAAGCCCAAGCAGGAACGCTCACTTGTCATGTATGACTTCATTCAGCACTACAAGACTCTGGTGATGGCTTGTGGCATCTCCTTGGAAGGCAGTTTTGAGGACCCAAAGGTTTGCAGGATTAAGAAATTTAGCTTCATAAAACTACTAGTGTAAAGACACCAGTGGAAAGACGGGAGGACCTTCAGATACTTTCCTTCTGGTATTTCAATTTGAATATGCACGTCTGTCAGGGGGTTTAGTGACATTTTCTTCCAGTGGGAATTCTAGAACAGCATTTAGAGGAGGCTTCTTTTGCTGTGTGTGTTCATGGCGCCTGCAAGAGAAACAGAGCAGGTTCAGTGACAGGTTAACACACTGATCTTTCACGCCTGATTGCTTGAGTGGGGAGGATGAGGTTAAATCTGTCCCCTCTACCAGCGGACAGGGTTGAACTCTTGTTTTGTTGCTGTAAGAAGCTTGGGACTAAAATGGCAGAAGTGCTTCTGGTCATTCTGATTTACCTGCTATGTGTATGAACCACCTTGCTACCACTATTTTCTCAAAACAAAACAAAGATTGCATGAAACTTCAAAATGTAGGTTCAGGTACCATTTGTAACTGAAATGAAACGCTAGAAAGAGACAAAAGCACCTTCTTGTCCTTGTTAGGAAAAGCTCTAGATGCATAGAAATTTCTGGTGTTGATTTTTAAAGCTTGCCTCACACATGGGCTGAATAACCTCATGGCAGTATTAAAGTCTGCAAGTAAGCAGCTAAGGTGTTCAACAAAACTACAAACTTAGCTTTTCAAACCAATACATAAAATTAAAGATAATACATAAAATTAAAGGATAAAATTAAAGAGCAATAAAATTAGCACCTTTCACTGCACTGTTCTGTGTGTTAAATGGAGTCATATTTGTTTATTTTAGTGATGCAATAAATATATACATATACAGACACACGCATTCACCCCCTCTCCTACAACTCCTTCCCCTCTATATACATGTAGTTTTTACCTTCTGCTTGCATAGTATAGATGATGCAAAACCTGTGTTTCGTCCTATTTTGACACAAGAAATTGAAATATAGCTGTAAGTGAAATTGCTTTGAAGACAGTGGGAGGCATGAGGCTTACTGCGAATAAAATTTGCCTTGCAGAATTCTTGGTACTCGTGCTGACGTGCAAAAAAAGAAAAGGAGAGCTCAGCTTGACTAATATTCTAGATCAATAGCAAGTTCTGTTTTTTACAAAGTCAGTTTTTAGATTAAATATGAAAATCAGGATCAAAACATGTTTAATCCCCTTTTTGTTAGGTTTTAATAAAAGAAAAAAACATTGAGGACAACACTTCTAGTTGTGTTTAGTTGACAAGAGGGTAAGGTTTTCAAATGCGCGGAATTAATTTTGAGTGAGAATGAAGCTTTTTAGTGACTTATGCCCTCCTGAAGCTTTTATCTGAAATCTCATAACTTTTCCACAATTTATTCCAGTCTGCCTGACAAATTAAGAAAAATAATCAACACTATAACCTTGCATGAACACCCAGTTAAGTATTTATGTTGTATTATGACTAAAATGGAAAAAAAGGCCTCATGGAGCTCTCCCTTTTTAAGGTTGCATGTTGGCTGCTTGATGCTGACTCTAAGGAACGTACACTTCACAACATGGTGACTAACTTTCTCCCCAGTGAGCTACCTCTACTGGAAGGGGTAGGCACCGGCCAAGGGGTGCAGAGCCTGGGGCTTAGTGCCAGCAGAGATCATTCTGGGCGATACAGAGCAGCGATAGAGTCTGTGCTTGTCTTCAACGTCATGAACCAACTCCATGATGAATTACAGAAGGAAAATCTCACAGGTAAAGAGAGCTCTTCCCATTGGGGGTAAAGATTGAGGGAAAAGGTAGCTGTACTACCACAGGGTGAATGATCAATGGAGAAGAGATGAGATTTGGAAGTCCTTATCTAAGTATATTCTGTGGTAAAATGCTGATTTGTTAAAAGAGGGCACGTCCCTTTGAAGTACATCTGTTTTGTCAAATATTAAATTAAATTTTGAATTAAAATATAATTTTTATATCCTAAATATCGACCACTTCCATTGGTTAAGGCAATAGCAATGTGTATTTTAAGTCTCTGAATCAAGCAGATCTTTACCTCCCAGGTGAGTACCCTGGCCAGTCTGAGGGGACTTGTGGGTCTGTCTGTGGTTTCTCATGAACATGTTCAAAAGCTTTTGCATTTCCATGTCAGAAGCAATTCCTAAAATCCTCCCATGTTTTCTGAAGGAGATTTCTTCCTCTTTGGCCTCTTTGTCATCAGTGTGTTGTGTCCGTGAAACTTTTGTGATCCCGTAGTGAATGATCCCATATGTTTGGGATATTGATAATATTTGATGAGTGCTTATCTCTGTTTAAAAACAATCAAACAAAATAAAACCCCAAAGACCACATAACCATTTGTGGGCTTTATGATTGTTTCCCCTACGTTGTATCCAAAGCCAAAGATTAGGGTCCAGTCTTACTGAAGTTCTTTTATTGCAAGTTTAATAATCGTGACAAATAAACCTTGAAATGTTTTTAAATGATGTGGGTGGTGGAATTAAAGTGTATCAAGTTAGCTTTACAGTAAGCATGTCTGTGGTTTATAAAATGTTGATATACAAAGAGATGTGTGTTTATTAGAAAAAAGGTTTTTGATGGAAGTTGTTATTCTCTTAATTCTGGAATACTTCTTACTATGAAATATCATCTTAAATATTTTATGATAAAAAATTCTGGAATACTTCTTACTATGAAATATCTATTACTATGAAATTTTCCAGAAACAAAAGTATTTAAACTAAATCTATATTAAGAGATTTCAGTGTGTCAGGAAATTCAGGATTTTAAAAACTGAAGATTCCCCGGCTATTTTTTTATGAATCTGTTGTTCTGCGGTTGATCTGCCTTTGATGTTACAAGAGTTTTTCCTGGGGTTTGTATTTATTACAGATGTATTTTCTAAAGTGGAGATGCCCACCCATTATTGCTTGGCTCTGCTGGAGCTGAATGGCATTGGTTTTAGCACAACAGCGTATGAAACCCAGAAACAGGTGATGCAAGCTAAACTGAGCGAGATTGAGACCAAAGCCTATCAGCTGGCAGGCCACAGCTTCTCCTTGACCAGCCCTGATGACATTGCAGAGGTACTTCTTTTATTGCAAGTTTAATAATCGTGACAAATAAACCTTGAAATGTTTTTAAATGATGTGGGTGGTGGAATTAAAGTGTATCAAGTTAGCTTTACAGTAAGCATGTCTGTGGTTTATAAAATGTTGATATACAAAGAGATGTGTATTTCTTAGAAAAAAGGTTTTTGATGGAAGTTGTTATTCTCTTAATTCTGGAATACTTCTTACTATGAAATATCTATTACTATGAAATTTTCCAGAAACAAAAGTATTTAAACTAAATCTATATTAAGAGATTTCAGTGTGTCAGGAAATTCAGGATTTTAAAAACTGAAGATTCCCCAGCTATTTTTTTATGAATCTGTTTTGCAGTTGATCTGGTTTTGATGTAAGAGTTTTTCCTGGGGTTTGTATTTATCACAGATGTATTTTCTAAAGTGGAGATGCCCACCCATTATTGCTTGGCTCTGCTGGAGCTGAATGGCATTGGTTTTAGCACAACAGCATATGAAACCCAGAAACAGGTGATGCAAGCTAAACTGAGCGAGATTGAGACCAAAGCCTATCAGCTGGCAGGCCACAGCTTCTCCTTGACCAGCCCTGATGACATTGCAGAGGTATGTGAGGGTTAGGGCGGGAGGGGGAGAACTTTCAGAAATTACCCTCAAGAAGCTTTTGCTTAGACTTAAGGAAAAAAAACCTTCTTGTGCAGTTTGCTTTCACACTCACCTGCAAGGTGCTGTGCATCTGATTGGTACTGATCCTGCTTGTTGCTGATCATCCTGATTTCTGCTAACTTTAGCAGAAATAAAGAAGGTAGAAGTAGAAATAAGCATGTTGGAAATAAAAACCAAGTGGAAATTAGCATATTGTTTGTATAGGACCTTGGCTTCTCTTGGCGCATGAGATGATCTGCCAATGAAAGGGCTTTTGGAATATTTTGGATGAATGGTGCAGAACTAGAGAAGTTTTTTTTTCAATACCAGTATTCTGCACACGAGATGTGATGTGATATCATGTAGTCTTGAGTCTAAGAATAGTTGTACTGAATAACTTGCATTGTTACCCGTGTCCCTATACAAACATGAAAGAGGAGGAAAGACTGCTTGAAAAGTTTTGAATCAACTACTGTTTTTAATAATCTCAATAGAACTGTTTTGTTTTGTTTTAAGCCTAAGAAATAGATTTCTATATAAAATAGCAATGCTTCTATTCCTGAAGAACTTTACTATATATTTTTTTCATGTACGTTACATGGAATCATAGAAATAGATTCTAATTACTGTGCATGCTGTTTTCCCGACTTATTTCTTTTCTGGATACTAATTTCTTGCTGAGGATCTCTATATGGAAGTAGTCAAAATTTGCAGGCATCATCACTAAAAGAAGTTCCACAGAAATATTCCTCATTTGTTGCAAACGCAGAAGTTTTGCTCAGTAACAGTAGTCTGAGTTAGAACTCCTAAAATAAGGCTTGTCTCTAGTTTCACTCTGCTTCAAGAGAAGGAAAGTTTCTTTTCTGAAATGCTGTTCTCTGAACTACAGAAGCTTGTTTCTCATGTGAAAATTTTGTTAAGAATCATATAAAATGGCTTGTATAGGTTATTATAGCTTTATCCTTCTAATTTTATGTCAGTAAAACTTTTATGCTACAAAAAAAGTGTGAGGGAAAAGCTTCTATTCCCTTCTGCCAGCTGTGAAATGAAACACAATAGCTGCTAAATAGTGTGTAATGCTACAAGGAAATGTGGAGTGAAAAATGAAAAACTATGTTCTTTCTGTCTAATTTTACTTGGCAATTTTTTAGAAAAACTAATACTCTGGCTACTCCATAAAAAGTATTTGTGACCGCTGCCTCCTATGGCATTCATGTTGCTCTGAAGCCTGCTTCCTGCTAATGCTTCTTTTTTTTTTCACCAGTGTTTTTCCCACATTTAGTCATCTTAACTCCACGTTTTATTACAGTTGACTGTCAGCAGTAACCTCACTTATTGGATGGAGTTAATTACCTTTTCTAAAAACATACCTCTGAACTCAAACTTCTAGTGTTCAGAAAATGAGATTTTAGATTGCATTTTGTAGTTAATTAAAATGACGAGGAATGACTTTGATAGCAGAGATCTTTAATCAGCTTTTTAATTACCTGAAGCATTTGTACTATCCTTCGGTTGGAACAAGCTGTTTAAGTGCTCCGTTGCTTTTTGTCTTCTCCTGGGAGTAGCATGCAGAAACTGATTTGAAGTGCTGGCCTTTTTCAGGTTTTGTTCCTGGAGCTGAAGTTGCCACAAAATGGAGATGTGAAAGTTCAAGGGAACAAGAAAACTCTGGGTTACACAAGAAGAGCAACTGCTAAAGGCAACAGGGTTAGGCTGAGCAAGCAGTTCAGTACAACCAAGGTACAGTAAAGTCTGGTTTTAGTCTGACTGTGAAAAATAACTTACTTTACACATCTGCTGCTTGGATACATTGGAGTTAGGTATGCTGACTTAAATGAAAAATTTTACCTGCCTTTTTACTCCTTCAGTTGCCACTGGAAATTTAAACTGGATTCTGCCTTCTCTGTTAGCAGAGTTATTAACTCCTACTTTCCTAAAGCCTGGGTACAGCGAGGACATGACTATAAATAGCAGGCTTCAATTAGAATAAATCAGGCAGAATTTAATTTCCCAAACCATGTGTAAGGCCAAAATAGCACAATAATTTTGTAAAGCAAATAGTAGAAGAATTTTTCAACATCAGCTTGAAAGATACTTAAATACCATGGTGATTAAATTCAATATTTTCCCTGCCTGGTACTACCATATCTTTATATTGTGCTTCAGAGAATTTGTCTTCGGAATGGCTGATCTGATGGCTTATCAAATTTAGTATATCAAAAGCTTATATATATGTGAAGGCTATTGACAAGCTTGGCAGCTGATAAATACTGCGGAGCTGCATTAATACCAACTGCTGCAGGCTCATGGGTGCTCTTGCCAGACAAGTGATATTAGCAGATATATATGTTCCCTGTTTTCAGGGCTCATTAATCTGTGTTGTTTTCTTAGTTCCCCCTTGTTCAGTGTAGTTAGCGCTTGGAAGACAAGTATTGATTTCTGAAACTCAAGTGGCAGTGAAAAAGTGAGTGCAGTGGTGCTGGCAGAGCAGGGAGCAAGAAGCAAAGTGAGAATTTCCTGCTTTTGCAATGTGGAGAGATGAGGCTACAGCTGCCTGCTGCATACAAAAAAAATAACTGTTACTTTGAGAAATGTTTGTGTGCACAGTCTTTTTAAATTCTTGTTTGTCCTTTCATATTTCTGATTTAACTGAAAGGATTTGATTGCTAGTGGTCAGCTTTGTCTTTCAAGGAGCATGGTCAAGGGCTTCATTTTGTTGAGTTCCTAGAATATGGATAGGAGAGAGCAGGGAAAAAAGTATGCAAGAAGATGGAGGAGGAGCACTACCGCTGGGCAAGAGGAGACAACATGGGGAACCTACAGCAAGTGAGGCTTTATTTGATCATTTCAGGTGATTTATTGGTTGGTGGATACTGAGTGGTGATGAGGGTGTGAAAGTCCGAAGAGAAGTGATTGCTTTCTTGTGTGTAATAAAACTGCAGCTGTGTCTCGTGGTGCTTTGATTGCCCAGGGTAGGCGGTGTAAATGGAGGGGATATCCATTTAATTTTAAGGCAGTGACACTGGAAACTCACTGTGGGTGAAAGAGTTGATTTTCCTGCAGAACTGCAAAAACTTTATAAATAAAGCTTCAAAGGCAGTTAATTGTAGTTGTGACCTTTTCTCTCCACAAGGATGTTTTGGAGAAATTAAAGACACTTCACCCGTTGCCAGGGCTGATATTGGAATGGAGGAGGATCAACAATGCCATTACTAAAGTGGTGTTTCCACTACAGAGGGAAAAGCGACTGAATCCTGCACTGGGAATGGAAAGGATATATCCAGTGTCACAGACTCACACAGCTACAGGTAGAGAAACGTGTATAAAATCCTCCCCTCTTACTGTTCTTTTTTTTCTCCTCCTTTTTTTTGTGTGTGTGGGGCGCAGCTTTTTTATGGGGAAAAGATAGGAAATAAGCCCGTGCTCTATTTCAGCCAAATGAAAATACTGAAATACCTATTTCACAGGAATCTGCCCTAAAAGTCTAGATGTGTTAAAATAGCTTTTGTGTTCACCAAGCAGTATTACTCATTTCTTGCATATATTAGCGTGTAAATCTCTGACTGCAAAACAGGTTCTGGATTTGGGAGTTTCTTATTAGTAATACAGGAATGCTGCAGGGGAAACATCTCAAGTCCAATAAACCTGAATTATTTTCCTTCAGTTCTCTCAGTGGTTGTATGCTGTCCCTGCCCCCCCCCTCGCTCCCCTTGTTTTTTGGAGATGCAGATGTGTGTTCAGCTGTGTTAAGTTAGAGAGACTCCTTTTGGACTCTTACTTAGTTCTGCCTTGTCTGCCTTCTCAGGTCGAATAACCTTCACGGAGCCAAATATCCAGAATGTGCCAAGAGATTTTGAGATTGAAATGCCAACTGTGGTTGAGGAAAGCCCACCTTCCCGAGCCCATGGAAATGTTAATTCTCGTGCTGTTTCTGGGGGCAGGTGGGAGGATCTTGGCAAAGCTTCTGCCTACTCTGTTGATCTTAATGTGGTTGAGTTGTCAAATTTCTCTTTTTTCTTACTTCACCTGTGGCTGCTGTTATGTCAGTGTGACTTGTTACTCAGTGTTTTTCTTACAGTTCCCTCTTCAGGAGGATAATCAGGCATAGCCATGGAGGCAGAAATATCATTCTGAGAAATAGCTCTGGCCAGTGCTTAGGCTTGCAGCAGCTTTGCAGGACAATTGGAGAGTGAACTGGGTTCTTAGAGTCTTCCCTGTAGAGAAGCAGCCCATCAAAGGAATGGAGTGCTTGCTGAACTTTGAGAGAGGTCTGCTTCTCAGCCTGACTGTATTCCTTACTCCAGCACCCACTGCGTTAGTGACATGGGACAATCCTAAAGGCACAGAAGTGACTGCTGGCGCAAAAGAAGCTATCATGCAGCTGAAGACTGTTAATGCCTTCCAAACTTTGGTCCAAACTGTCTTTTATCTCAGTAATTGTTATTACTGCTCCTTCGTCATCTTGTAAGAAGCTTCTGGCCAAAGGAGTGTAGTTAAATTAGATCATGGTATAAAGCCTTTACTTATTCGACTAAATTGGGAACCTATGCTGGACAGTGTGATTCTCTACAGTTCCCCTATGTTGTGCCTCACCTTTATTTCTTTTGAAAATTTATTTCTGTGATTTTTGTGCTATCTTTCATCTCCTTGATCCCTACCATCCCTGAAATAACAAGATATAAGAAGAAAAGGGAAGAGAGCATGATGTCTTTTCTGTGCTTTGCTGAAACTAGCCTTGATCTCAGAGAGACCTTTTCATTCTGATAAAGAAATTGCTCAGATCACTGACCGAAATATCAAGGACTTATAAAGGCCTTTTGATTCCCAGTGAAGAACACAATGGGCTGGCTGGTAGACTGGTGCTGACAGGGTGTGAATGGTATCACAGCTGTGCACTGTGATGGGTATAATTCTGTCTGCAGCTATAAGTGGCTTGGACAGGAGAACTAAGGAAGCCCTGAGAGGTTGCAGAGCATCTGGGTGCTACTGTAAACTTCCAGCCTTCTGGAAAAGAAAATCGAGTTGCTTTGGGGCAATTTTTTGCTCGGTCTTTAGAGGGGAAACATGTGGTGTTCTATGAGCACAGCTTCTGCAACTTCTGTTCTGCTTTCACAGGCTTACTTGTGTGTGTGCATGTGCAGTCATGAGGCTGATGTTGTGGGAGAAATCTTTTCTGTCTGTACTGGGTATGATGTAGGCATCCTGGATGTGAAAACAATGTCCAGAGCAGACTTGACACTCAACGTGGGGTGTTGAATTTTTAGGATTCCTGTAGGACTTCTTTGTTATCTTTCTGGAATGCATCCATCACAGGTTTGGGGCCTTTCATCTTACCTCCTTTGGAGTGAAATTATCCAATTTCTGGACAAAACCCTGAATGCACAAGGAAGATTTATGCCTGAATCAGTCACTAAATCCCTTCAGGTGTACATATGGCCTCTGTCCAATTCCCCCATGGTCAAATTAGGTATAGATTATCCAGAAGAGTGGAATAGAGGCTTGTTTTCACTGAACTTTTGTAGCAAAAATGATTATGCATCTTTGTTTTTGAAATTGGTGAAAAAGTCATTCTTTGTCTCCACAGATGTAGAAAGCGTTCCAGCATTTTGCTTAACAGCCTAAAATTTCAGGCTGAAGACAGATCTGAAGAAAGAGGAATACCATTTTCTGTCAGCATGAGACATGCTTTTGTTCCCTTCCCAGGTAATGCCCAGATCCTGCTCTGTGCCAGCTAATTGTTAAGAATATAGTTAACAAAAATTCCTAGCTCTAATGAAGAGTTAAAAATTAAAGTATATATCTGACATAGAAGGCTACTTGGAAAACTAATGCAGTAGTGAGCATGACTGAAAAATTATTCACAAGACTGTAAAGAAGAATGTTTCAACTGGGGAAAACATTCAAATGTTATAATTCAAATGTTCACATCTTCATTTCCTCTTTAAGAATACATTTATTTTTTTTTAAGAGCTATACTTAGGCAGCTCTTAATACACAAATTGCACTCTATATAGTGTTATTTCTATCCAAATGTCAGTATCCACATTGCCTGCCCTGGCTCAGTACAAGTCTGCTGGTCTGATCTGTGCTAGTTATTCCTATCAGGTGCTGGACTTTTACACAGACACCTGGACAGACACTTGTTCTGTGTGTTTGTGATGGCTTCTAAATGCCGAGGCTGCATGGAAAGCAAGCAAGCCTGGGCACTGGGGAAACAGACAAGAGTTTATCTGATTTAATTTCTGCTGTTTATTGACACAACTTTTAGGAGTGCAGAAGCAACTCCTTAAAGTATTTGCAAGGAAATGGAGACTGAGGTTGCATAGCAATGGCTGCAGAAAACTCTCAGAGCAGAACATGCAAGGATGGCTTCAGTCCTCCTTGCTGGAATGTTGGTTGGAATGTTGGAATAATTTATGAAATAATGATTTCTGCTAACTTTGTGACTTCAGGTGGCTTAATCTTGGCTGCTGATTACTCTCAGCTTGAACTGAGGATCCTTGCTCATTTGTCTTCGGACTGTCGACTCATTCAAGCCTTGAACGGGGGTACTGATGTCTTTAAGAGCATTGCAGCAGAATGGAAAATGATTGATCCTGAAGCTGTTGGAGACAGGACCAGGCAACAAGCTAAACAGGTAATTTTTAGAAAAAACAATTCAGCAGTAGCTTTCTAGGCAGAAAGGTTTGGTGTTCAAAACATCAGGCAGTCCCAATAGTACGGTTTCCTGTTTGGGTTCAGCCATGATTGTTCAGTCCGTGCTTTGTATGTCCTACCACTCTCCACACATTTCAACTGGAGCTGTCTGGGTTTGGGGGGATGAGGGTGGAGAAAAGCAGCATGAATGTCTTGGACTTCTTGAATGCTTGCTCTTAGTCCCATACACTTGTCTTCCAGTGAATCACATTTTGTTTTGGCTCTGCTTTCTCTGCATGGCTCACATATGGTTGTGGTTCTTCACATTGTCCTCTGGCAGATTTGCTATGGAATCATCTATGGAATAGGAGCAAAGTCTTTAGGCGAGCAGATGGGGATTGATGAAGATGAAGCTGCCAATTACATTGAATCCTTCAAATCAAGATACACAGGTTTGGATATGGCTGTTTGGGAGCGGTGTGGTGGTTGTTTGTTTTAATCTCTTCTGTCTCTTCAAATCCTGGATTTGTCTCAGCTTTCTACTACTTCTATATCTTTTGAAAAAGCTTTTCATTTTGAAATAGTCCAGTTCATGAACACAGCAGTTTGATACTCCATGACATTTTACTCTACACTTTGGTTTTATTCATCTTTAGGACGTTGTTGTTTGCTTATTACATTAATTAATTAATAAGCCCTGGGGATTAATTTTAAAGCTCTTAACTTTTTGGGTAAGAAACACTCTTTTCCCTATTAAAACACAGCTTCAAAGGATATGCAATACAACTTTACACCACACTTGTTATAATTTTTAAATATAACCATTTGTCTCTTCTGTTCTCATTTTTAACTTTCATTGAGTTTTAAGCTGTTTTGCATATCTCCCTTACATTTTTATCCAGCTGCTCAGAGCAGCTCTCCCATATTTTGTAAAAAGACATCGCTTTGTTTTGAAGAAGCCTGTTAAGTTTTAGGAAAGCTATAGAGGGAGTAGAGCTGCAATCAGAAAATGAATGGAGGGCAAATGGGATGAGAGACGGCTAGCTCTAATCATACAACTTGGAAATGAGCTGGAAAATTATGTTCTGAAGATTCAGGGTTTGTTTCCTTAGGAGGCAGATGCTGAGAAATGGTGTCCCATTAAGAGTCTGTTTATTATCCAGTAATTTCTAGATAGTGTCTCCTTCACAACCACTAGAAATGACTTCCTGCTTCCTCCCTCTTGGTACACGTGTGTACATACAAACTCTGCAATGTACCTTATATTTTAACTTCACTTATGAATTTTTACTTATATGTATTGCGAGGCTGACATGCTAAATTACTCTGCCTAATGAATTGACGAATGTTGTCGATCTTGAATACCTCCTTTTATATTTTGGAAAGAAACTGTCTGAACTATTTCCACTTTAGCGCAGTTGTTACCTGAACTTGCAGTGAAAGGGACTCTTCCCTGTCTTACCTTTCTTTAACCTAAGTGTCTTTTTAACACTCTCGGTGGTTTCACTCCTTCCTTTGCAAAGTGCAGGTGGGTAAGTTTCTTTCATCCTAGAATCTGAAGTGACAGAGTCAGTCAGCCTGAGGCTTCAAGGGCTCTGACTTCTGCTTTCAACTTACTCCCTTCCTACTACTCATCTTTCCAGTGCTGGTCCAGGTCCTGACCTCTCTATTACCAGTAATATATGTATGATCCTCTGTGCCTGGGTGATGTGCAGAGTGGACTTCCTGCCTCCTTGTGCACAGCCAGATACCCTGACACTATGCACTCTTTTCTGCCTCAAAAATGTTAATAAGTTTCCCAGCAGAGCTGCGAATAGGCTGAATGAGTGATCGTGTGCTCTTGCCCACTGACAGGGTCTAGGAAATCTAAAGAATTAACTTCTGTGTTGCTTGGGTTTCCCGGGCTGCTTTCAGTGACCCCAGTGAGAAGTCACCGTCACAATCAGTTGTATTAGGGAAACCTTTCTCTTTTTTTTTTTTTTTTTTTCACAGGGATTCAGAAATTCTTGAGGGAGACAGTGAAGAGCTGCAGAAGAGATGGGTTTGTGCAGACCATCCTGGGAAGACGGAGATACTTGCCAGCTATCAAAGATTCCAACCCTTACAGTAAAGCTCATGTATGTTGAGTCCAGTACTTTTTTGTTTTTTAACTATTACTTTATTTTTTAAAGTGTTAGATTTCTTTGCATATCCATATCTGTGGTTTTACAGGGTCTATGAGCCATCTGGGTCATGACCTTCCACGTCTCACTTAGTTTGTTGTTCCCTCAGTTGTTCTCTGAATAACAAGAGTTTTTGTCATGGTTTGCTTGACGTAAGTCTTCTCTGACCGGGTGTACAGCTATCATCACTGTGCTAACCTCACTTCAGAACTCCCACGTTGGAAGTGGAGTGAGTAATTTATTGAAGTAAGTGGACATGATTTTAAAAAGCCTCCACACAGTGACGTGCTTTAACTCTTCAGGCTGAGTTGCTCCCACTCAGCAGTCTCTATATATTGTATGCTGTCAGCACTTGAACAAGAAAGGGCATTTAAGTCCTATATTTTCAGGTGTTTCTTCCTTTTCATATTTCCTCTCAAAGGAAAATTGCTCAAACTTGTTAGATAAATATTTACTTAATATACGTCTTTGCACTGGCATTATTTTTTTCAAGGTCATTTCGGACGCATCTGTCATAGACTCTATTTCAGTACAGTGTGGAATTTGAGGCTAGAGTGGAAGAGGGAGGAAATGGAGGAGTTTGTACTCCAAGTAGTTGAAAGGGAAACAAGGAGACTTTCAAAAAACTTTTGAGATGATTTGACTGTTTAATCTGAAGGATACTTCAGCATGAAGCTTTGTAGATGCACCTTCTGTTCAACTTTGATTTATTCTTTAAAATCATATTAAAGACCAGTTAATGAATTATCTTCACTTTCATTTCAGCTTCCTCATAACTTCTTGCACATATTTCAGCTCTAATCAAAGAGAGAAGAACCTTTTAATACAGTTTTCTTGTCTGAGGAGGGGATTAGTACAATTAGTAGAGCTTCTGTGGAAAAAAAATGCCATAATGTGGTCCGGTGTGTTTTTGCACAGCTGTAATGCTCTGGCAGTCAGGGTTCAGTGCAGCAGACCATATTATTAGTCCATGAAATCCAGCTTCTTGCTTTTGGTTATCCATTCCTGATGGTTTTGAAGATAGACAGAAGTGTCTCATGGTACTTGGATTAACTATGAGATTTTTCTGCTCCTCGTGAAACTGTTACCATGTTTATGTGCTTGTCCCTCTTGTGGCTTGTGACTCTTGCAGGTTATTACCCTTGATATTAATTAATTTTAAGTTTGTGGAAATCCTGATTTTGTGCCTGAAGCTAGTCTAGAATGTCTCTTTCTTTCAGGCAGATAAAACAAACTCTTTGTCTGGAGGTTTTATTATGCTTATATTTGGCCATGTATTTATTATTTTTAATGAAGTACATGTGGGATGCTAGATTTGATTTATTTGTTTGGGTAGATTTTGAGAACACCTATCTCTGTTTAGGCAGAGCGACAGGCTGTGAATACAACTGTTCAGGGATCTGCTGCAGACATTGTCAAAACAGCCACTGTGAACATTCAGAGACGCCTGGAAGCTTTCTCCTCTGTGATCAAGTCCCATGGACATCTGGAGAGCTCCTTCCAGAGAGATACGACAGGTATGCTCATCTCTTCCTTGCACATTAGAGCAAAACTTCTAGTGTTACTAATTAAAAAAAAAAAAAAAATCTGAAAAAAAAATGTTAGGGCCTTTGGGTCTAACTTTTAGGTAGGAGTTATTTTACTTTCTGACAGTGGCAAGTCTATGTTTAGTGGGCTAAAAGTCATAAGGAAAGAGGGGAAAAATGTCTACTCAAAACAGAAACTAAAGCAAATGCTGTGATCAGCTCAGAAACCCCCACTGCCTCAAGGCAGATGTTGCAAACGGTGGCAGTGGGAGTTCACATGTGATATGGCCTGTGATGCCACCACAGAGTTGTTTAAAAGTTGGAAGGAGAAACTGAGCAGATACTCTGGCTTCAGAGGCAGTGAAAAGATAGAGTGGAACAACTTCTAGTTCCAAAAATACATTTTCTTGGTTAGAATTAACTCTGGAATTTGATGTACAGAGGCTCCACAAGAGTATTAGATGAAGCACTTGTCAGCATAAATGTCTCCTGTCTGTAGATAGCAAAGCTGTGCTGGGGTATTCATTCCCAGAGGAGTGCTATGAAGATTTTTTTTTTTTTTTTAAGCATAATGTAGACAGTGTTTTGTTCATCAGTCATATATTTTTAGAAAGACAACTTAAGGGATGGAGTGCTGTATTTCTTTGATAGTTCTTATGCTTCAACTGAAACATGAAGCTGTCGTAATATGAAGAATCTGATTTGTAGGACTGAGAAGAAAAACTAAATAATTAATTGCCGAACCTCTAAAAATATGTCAGAGAGTTTTATTTTAGAAAGACAAGATTCAGAAGTGTGCTATGAGTAGAAGGCATGTGCTTGGCAGAACTTCCCTCCCCTTCCAGCTACTGACCTTTGGCCAGCGTAGTTGTAGAAAGGTGAGCAGATGCATTTAGAATCATAGAATTGTCTAGGTTGGAAGGGACCTTTAAGATCATCTAGTCCAACCGTCAACCTCTGATAAAAAAAACCAAACCAAAAAAGACCAAAACCTACTATCATTAAACTGTGTCACTAAGCACTATGTCAACCCATCTTTCGAATACCTCCAGGGGTGGAAACCACATCCCTGGGCAGCCCATGCCAATGCACCACTTTCCTGGGCAGCGCATGCCAATGCTTAAAAACCCTTTCAGTGTAAAAATTTTTCCTGATATCCAATCTGAACCTCCCCTGGAGCAACTTGAGGCCGTTTCCTCTTGTCCTATTGCCTGTGACTTGGCAGAAGAGACTGACCCCCACCTCCCTACAACCTCCTTTCAGGTAGTTGTAGAGAGCGATAAGGTCTCCCCTCAGCCTCCTCTTCTCCAGGCTGAACAATCCCAGCTCCCTCAGCCTCTCCTCATAAGACTTGTGCTCCAGACCCCTCACCAGCTTCGTTGCCCTTCTCTGGACCTGCTCCAGCACCTCAATGTCTACTTTGCATTAAGGGGCCCAAAACTGGACACAGCACTCAAGGTGGTAGTGCACTCGAGGTACCAGTCCTGAGTACAGGGCGACAATCACCTCCTGAGTCCTACTCGCCACGCTGTTCCTGATTTGTGACAGTTTTTCCTCCTCTGATACTTGCTGTTTCGAGAACTGGAAGGAATTCTTTCTCAGCAAGTTATAAAGGCCTGTGCCATCAAAGAAGCATCCTGCGTCACGTGGCTCTTCAACATTGCTGCTTCAGTGTGAGGCTTGCGTGAGGAACTGATGATGCTGTGAAACCCTCCCTGTAGTTGTGAACTGGAGTCCTCCTGTTAGCTGACCTGAGAAATAAATAACTCTTGAGTCTGTGTGTGAGGTTGTGTTTGTTTATTTTTTTTAAAAAGAGCTTTTACTATGGAACGGTTTGTTCTGCTTTATTTTTGTCAGACAAGGCCTACCAGGATCCTGTTCTTGTCAGCTGCTTACTTGTTTATTCAAAAACTGCTCTTTTTGTCTTTCCTTTTTTTAATCAGGAGTAGTAGCTACAGTTTCAGATAACAGCATTTGGGAGGAGACTTACTGCCTTTTAAGACTAGCTGTTAAAATTATTTTGAAAGAAATGTAGAATCCTAATTCATCGCCAGAGAGAACATTATAAACCAACTTCTGATTATACTTGACATGATTTTGTTTAAAATTTACTTTTAAAACAGATGGTTCAGGAGACGCAACTGTCTCTTGTTTCTGTTCTGATTCATATCTTCATAATGTAAGGCTGAAATGTTTGTATCTAAAATGCCTTTCATTAACATTTTTCCCTCAGTAGCTGTACAAATATTGATAGAATAGCAATGTTTTGTGGTTTTATCTGTAGGCACGGCTTTTTCATTTCAAAGTTCCTCGTGTTCTTTTTCTCAGCGTTAGGAATGTGTGAGGGTTTTTTAATTAGAGAAAACATGCCTCTGCAAAATGGGATCTAACAAAGTGTGCTCCCCACCTGTGTAGGAAAGCTGGCGAGGAAGAACAACAGAGGGATGTTACATCCCATCAGCGGAGGTTTCTTCATCCTCCAACTCCATGATGAGCTCCTCTATGAAGTTGCAGAGGACGACGTCATCCAGGTACAGCCGTGCAGTTGCTTTTTCAGCTGTCCTACTGTGTTATGATGTTTCAAACAAACCTTCCTTCGAGGGGCTCAGCTTTTCTCCCTGGGATCCTCTCTCGCTGTGTGCCAAAAGGTCTGTGAAAACAATGTTGAGTTGGATGAAAAATTATACTTGTATTCTTGATCCCTTTATTTTCAGACTCAAGGCGTTCCCATGGCTGAAGTTCATTTTTCCAATGTGTGCTTTGCTGCCTATAACAGCAGTTTGTACAACTTCTCCCCAAGTCTTGATGAGTGAAGTAGTTTACTATTGCTGACAGGTGTGGGGGGAGGTTTTTTCCTCGTTTTGAGGTATTTTTGCCTCTCTGTTTACACACACGTCTTCTAGTGCCTAGCTCAGAACATGTATTCTTGCAGCTGGGGTTTATACTCTGTGTAGGGAAAAGAGGATTCCTTGCTTTTGATACTTGTTTCCTCATTCTCTACTTATCTGTCTTTCTGGTAGGAGCTTTATGGTGCTGGTTAGAAGCATGGTAGCTATGAGAAACATGCTGTGTAGACTTAAGGTACCTTTCATGTCCCTGTGTGTGCTCTTCCACTGCGTAGGTGCTCCCATGCCTGGGCATAGTGGTGTCACAGAATCACAGACCGATATGGGGTTGGAATTGACCTCTGGAGATCATCTAATCCAACCCCCCTGCCAAAGCATGTCTGTGTGACAGCTTTCAGTAGCCAGCGTTTTAGCCGTGTGTTGGCAGCTCAGTGCTTTCCCAAGTCCTGAGCACAAAGGCAGGAAGGCTCCCAGGGCATGCTTCCATAGCTTGGGGATGGCTTTCTCCCACTTCTCTTCTGCACATATACATCTTTAATGACAGAAGGCCATTTCTTGACAGCAAGCTGTAGCTCCTTGTCTGTGAGAGCTTTCCACAGTACTAAGTGGCCTGAGCATATTTTTTTTTTAAATTTCATAAAGAACAAAAGGTTTAATATTTTTCTCTTGAATCTCAGCTCAAGCTTCTGTTCGTTTTGCCAGCTCTGTTCAGACATCTGCTGCTTCAATCCAGGCAGGCTGTTTTAGAGATGAAAAGGCTCCTAATTTTCTTCCTGTAGAAAACTGAAATCCCCTGAGTGTAGCCTTTTACGTCTTTAGATACCAACTCCAAGTTATCGCGGTGTCCCCAGAAGAACTGGGACCAAATGAGTGGATTTGCATATTATATATTGTATTATATATTTTTCATTAACAAACTTCAAGGGAAATTATGGCAGTTTTTCTAACTGCCTTCAGATGTATTTCTGTCCATAGATTTTCTGGGCAATCACTTAGAACAGCCCATGTACACAAGGCATGTTTCCTAGGCTCAGGCTTTCCTTGGGTTCGCCAGATTTGCTTGTTTTTCGAGGATTTCTGTCTAGCTTAAGACAATAAGGTGCTTCTTACCCCTTTGATTTTAGGGCCAGAAGGGATTTTTATTTGTGATATTATTGCCTGCTGTCCTTTCAGATGCACCATTATAATTATCCTATAGTGGAAAGATCTGGGTTGGAAAGGATCCCTTGAAACCTCTACCTCTTAAGTCCACACTCAAAGTAGGACCTGAATTAATTAGTTCTTTTGAACTACAATATACCTTTTAGTAAAAAAAGAAGCGAGCATTTCCTGGTTTCTGTGTTGGTGAGGTTTTTTTCATCTTGCTGGCATAAGAACTTTATTATACCGTTAAACATGTATTTCTCTGCTGCAACAGCAATTTTTATTCAGACAAGTTAGATTGGTCACATGCGTGATGCTGGTTCTAGCTTATTTTCAGCTGCTAAAGTGCACAAAAAAACCCTAAAAATATCTTTCCATATATCTAGGAGTTTGTGTTCCGGTCAGTCTCTCCTTACAAATGCTTTGTAAGAGAAATGACATGAGTGATCATTCTGTTTTCATTTGCAGTCTATCAGTGAGCTAGCTTGCCTCCTTTAGAAGACCCTGTTGGGGCAATACCTGTTTTTTCTTGTGCTGAAGGTGTGAAATGCCTGGGGCATCAGGGCTTTCCTACTCTGTGCAGAATGTCAAAGTGAGGGCTGGGAATTTTCAGAGCTTATCACAATAGCAAGACTGTAATAATATTGCTAAAAATGGTAGAAGGAGGGTTGCCCTCCTACCTGTTGAGCTGACCCTGACAACAAGGAGTCAGGTAGGAATGTAGAGGTATAGGCTAGATTAGGAATCAAAGGCTGGATGTTTTTAAACTGCTTGCTTGTCCCCATCGTTGCATTTATGTTTTTAAGGTGGCCAGTATTCTTCTGGGCATGTTTTAGCTGACCATTGAAAACCCTGGAAATGGAGCTGTTTGCTTAATGTACAGGAAATTCAGAGTTCAAAATCCCCCGTATTAGGGTGCGTGTCCCATCTCATCACATCAACCTCACCAGAAACCTCCCAAAAACCTGGTTTTTGTGTCTCCTCTACAGCTGCCATCCCTTGTCCTAGGTGCAGCAGCCCTAATCCGATGTTTCTCACTGTGTGCTGGACTTGTGACCATTCTCAGAGAACCTCCTTCTTTATGGCTGAAATTTCTTTTGAAATACTGGGCCCCAAACTTGATCGAGGCTGCAGTGGTTTGAATAGAGTAGAAAATAGATCTGTGTGTCACACGAGCAACACTTTCTTGTTCTGTGTTCCAGAATTGTGTTTGCTTTCCTTCTCACAACAGTGTGTCGTGCTTAAGCCCTGTTCAGTTTTTAATCTCTGATAACCCCGTTTTTTTTCCTGCCCAGGCAGTTATTTTTCATCCTATTTTGAACAGTAGATTATTTCTATCCTAGTTCTTTATCCTGCTTCTTTCTACCCTGTGCTCGTCTGTGCTGAATTACGTCCTATTTCAAAGCATTTTTCTAGGTTATCAAGATCATTTAGAAATGTGGTATGTAAGGGCGTAGGGTTTTGGAAGAGCAATCTCCCCCTAGTTCTTAATGCTGTTGTAAACTCTTGTGCTCTGATCTCCTAAAATCCCTCCTCCATTCCCCAGTAAAAGCTGTGGAGAAATTTCTACTGTGGGTACCAGTGAGGGAATTATGAAAACACATGGAGGGGTCAGAAAGCTGGAACAGTTCCTGTGTTGACACAGTGGCCTCTAGCTGAGATGAAGACTTGCAGTAATTTCAAAGCCTCTCTTCATTTTACTGTGGGATGGGTGTGGGCTGAAAGATTCATTCAGAGAAGCAATCCAGGACAGGCTGGACTCTGCGTGGGCCTTGGGGTAGGAAGGAAAGTCCCTTTATCTTAGACTGGAGATTAGGAGAGGGTTCTTCACTGTGAGGGTGGTGGAGCACTGGAACAGGTTGCCCAGGGAGGTGGTTGAGGCCCCTTCCCTGGAGATATTCAAGGAGAGGCTCGACGAGGCCCTGGGCAACCTGGTCTAGTTGGGGGTGTCCCTGCTGACTGCGGGGGGGTCGGACTAGATGACCTTTGGAGGTCCCTTCCGACCTGGGCAATTCTATGATTCATCCAGGGCAGGTATTCCAGCCAGGAAAAAAATTTCCAGTCTTTTACAATCAAAAAAGTCACAGGCAAAAATATCTTCTGGTCTCCTAACTGTGTACTGAAATGAATGTTTTCTTAGGAATACTTTTTGGAGGGCAGCAAACATTGGAAGTTCCCTCAACAAAATTGTGAGGGGCAACCTGAGCTTCTGGCACCTGCATTGAATGTGATTTTTCCCTTTCCCAGCGGTTTGTGTTTTGCAGAGTGCCTCTCGTGCCCACACAGCGAGGAGGAACACCGTCCTTTGCTTCTGGTGTATTTGTTTTGTGTCTTGCTTTTCAGTGCAGCGGGGTGAAAGAGGAGACTCTGCAGGACTCTCAAGTGTTTAATGAAAACTTAATCTTGCCTCTGTTCTAAGTAGCGTTAAACAGTGCGGAACCGGTCACAGCTCTGTGCTGCATTACATGTTATTGACCTTAGGGCAACGAAACTAGTGAAGGGCCTACAAGACAAATCATATGAAGAGCAGCTGAAGGAGCTGGGGCTGTTCAGTATGAGGAAGAGGAGGCTGAGGGGAGACCTCATCACTCTCTACAACTACTTGAAAGGACACTGTAGAGAGGTTGGTGCTGGTCTCTTCTCACAGGTAATTAACAATAGAACGAGAGGGAACGGCTTCAAGCTCCAACAGGGTAGGTTTAGATTGAACATTAGGAAGGAATTCTTCACAGAGAGAGTGGTCGGGCATTGGAATAGGCTGCCCAGGGAGGTGGTTGAGTCACCATCCCTGGATGTGTTTAAGGGACGTTTAGATGCGGTACTGAGGGATATGGTGTAGGGGAGGACTTTGTAGAGTAGGGTAGATGGTTGGACTCGATGATCCCAAGGGTCTCTTCCAACCTCAATGATTCTATGATTCTATGATTCTATGACACGGTTTCTCAATTCATAAACCCTAATCAGGATTAAAATGCATTCCCATCGGTAGTAGGCCAGAGCAAATAAATGCAGGAGAGGACTCCAGGTGTCCTGCCACCCCAGCTGTTGCAGAAGAACAGAACATTGAAGCCATGTGTACTGCTGATGTCTAGTATTTTCTTGTAGGTTGCTCAGATTGTCAAGCACGAGATGGAAAACGCCATCAAGCTCTCGGTAAAACTTAACGTTAAGGTGAAAATTGGACCAAGCTGGGGAGCCCTGCAGGACCTGGAGCTCTGACTCGAAATGCAGCCGTCTCACATGTGGTGAGGCCGAAGGCACCTTGGACTGGGCATGGTGAGAGCCAGCGTTCTCGCAGGCAGAGAGGGACTGGTGTGTGGTGTGATCCTCCTGTGTCATGTTTCTACAGACGTTGTAGCAGGCTGCCTTCTGAAATGTGGGGTAGAAGCTGATATGAACTCACCAAGCCAAACCCTTCAGAGGTCAGACAGCGCGTTTACAGAACCGGGAAAGTATTAATTGCTAAAAGCACAGTATTTAAATGAATTCTGTTAAAATAAGCTTGATCTTGTAATTTAAAACAAAACTCTAGAGCCTAATGGATTTATTACATATGAAATGAGCTGGATTATTCTAATAAAACAAAGCACAAGGATAATTTGTTCTTGTGTGTAATTGTGTTTAGGACGAAAAAAAAAAGTCATTGTGTTTGCACTTAATGCTGAATTTTACAGGCCTCTGCTGGGATAATTTTGTACTGAATTCTGCTGATGAGATTCAGGTGTCGAAATGGCTTTAGCCCTGGCTGGGTATCTCACAGAGCAGCTGTGCAGCATTCCAGTGTTCACAGTGCACGGAACCGGGGCTTGGTTGCTCTCTGACTTTTAGGAAAGCATTTTGGTGACTGCTGTAATTCATTCTACTGCTACCTTGCACACTGACCTTGAGAGGGAGGGATAGTGTTTGGACTCTCTTAATTGTTAAACCAAAATCACCAGTAAATGCATTCATTTTTGAAGAATGAAACTCAATTTATTGGCTAAAAACTTAATGGCGATTTGTATTTTTGTGAAGAAAATAAACCAAACCTCAGTCTGGCCAGCTGAAGTGGCAGCCTTGCTGGTGTTTGAGGTCTGGTGTGTTAGAGTTGTTGCTGAATGGTGGTGGGTGACCCTGTGGCTCTTCATTCAGAGACCCATCTCCTAAGGAAGCCTCATACCCTGCCTGTTGGCAGCCTCGCTGAAAACCGCTGGGATTCCCCCCACGCTTTGCTTCAGAGTCTTTGACTCCATCCCTGAGGTCAAGCAGAAAGTTTTTCTGGGAGCTTGGGCTTGTCAAGCTAAACGCTCCTGAGACTGACTTGGGTCAGCTGCTGGGATCAGCTCCTTAACAACTGGAGTCAAGGAAGGAGCTCGCAGGGAATTAATCTGCCACTGTTTGGTGTTACTCTGCTCACCTGTACTTTCTGGTCTGGCTAAACCTCACATCATGTGGCTTTGTGTTCCCTTCCAGATGGTTGGGATGGTTATACGAGTTCAGCTCGTTTTGCTAACTTCATACAATGCCTGACCTTGAAATCTGATATTTTCATCTTGTGTGTTACAAGAAAGGGAGGACAGGTGCCTCCCATCATCTTCTTTGTGCCTCTAATTATTTTATCATGTCTTTCTTCCGTAGTTCCTCCCTAAGGTAAGCAATCTCCATCTTTCCATTCTTGCCTCCTGTGAGAAATTTTCAAGCCCCTAATTATTCTTTCATTTCTCAGCTTCTGCTGGTTCCACTCTAAGAAGTGTCCTTTTGAAGTTGCCTTTATAGCCTGATGTGAGAGGATGCATCCTCGGCTTTCAGCAGCTTGTTAACGTCAAACGCGGCGCTGTTGGCGTGGCCGTTATCCCGACATCAGAAGCACCTGGCACCCAGAGGTTTCAAGAACGTGGTGAGTTTTGAAAGACGTTAATGGGGCCTGTGTACAAAAGGCCACGTCCTGGCCTCTGCTCCACCACCCGCCTGCCATGTGGCAAAGCGGACACGGGGTATTGAGTCGAGGCCTCGACTGCCCCGCTCAGCACCGCCTTCGCCTTCTTTTGGGTGTGGATTTCGCTTTACCTTGAGGTATTTTTTATTTCTTTTTGTCTCCTTCCTGCCCGCTCTGCGCTGTGGTTTTCTACCACATCTGTCACCTGAGGGCCGAGCTCTTTACCCGCAGCAGTCGGCTGATGATAGGCAGTTGTTTTCTTTTCGAAGCTTATTAAAGCTTTTGTTATTAACAAATCTGAGCTTCGGCACCCTGGTGTCTGACCATTTGTGTGCTCTGCCTGTGAAGATGCTGGGTTGGACTCATTATCAATTCACACGGGCTAATGATTTCCTGTCCCGGGGTGTCCTGCGGTGACACACCTGTGCTGTATTTCAGCCTCACCGGAGCTGCAGTCATTTGGGTTGCTTGTTCTTTGGCACGTCACGCTGTTCCCCTCCCGCACGCTGTCTTCAGTATTTATTTCAGGATGGATCTCACATATATTTCCCCAACCAGCTCCCCAGAGCGCGGTGACGCTAATCGATAAGGGGATTGACACAGAACTAAACTTATTTTGCTAAACAAACCCAATGAGTTCATTTTCATTAAGCAGTAATTTGAAGCAAATGAGAAAATAAAAGGTGGCCGCTGCTCAGTGAGCGCGGCGGCTGTGGCGTTTGAGTCATGGTATTAGCACTGGCTCTGAGCTGTGGCCTGATTGATTGCTGCTATTTACATTCCTTAATTCTGATTAGACTTTTTAACTATTAGTGAGACTAAGCAGGGGAAGCAGAAGAGGGCTTAGGCCAGGTAAGCAGAGGCACTGCTTGGGACTGTGCAGAAGATGATACCTGCTATTTTCTGAAGTTGATAGAAGGAGGTTGGGTGCTTGCATGACTTATTTTTGCCTGTGGGACCCTCCCCCCCCCACCTCTGATGGGCTCAGCCTTTAGTTGGCTTTATTCTAGTTCAGGACCCGATAACCAGAGCGCAGGCTACTCTGTCCTCTTGGAGACAGGAGGGGATGCACCTGATTGTGTTCACTCTCTGCTCCTCAGCTGGTTTGTGTGTCCTTCTCTTTGCAGTCCACTCCTGCCTCCCGTTAGCTGGTGCCACACAGCAACACGCGTGGTCCCACAGCCCAAGAAGATGGATGAACACTGCAGAAGGGGTAGGAGGTCTGTTTGTTATGGCAGCCATGTCACTTGGTGTCCACGGAACTGCTCCTGCAGCCTGGTCCTGCCCTGTGCCCTGCGCTGCCCTTGCCTGGCTGCTGCCCCGGCAGGTGGGTGTCTGTCTGCCAGAAGAAACTGGGCTGGGACTCAGCCCTGACAAATGGCAGTGGGCTTCACCTCGTGTGAACCTGTGTGACCCAGCTCCTCGCAGGGGGAGCCCATCCCCTTGGGCTGCTGAGCAGCCTTTGTTTGGTTCGTATCTACCTTCTTGTCAAAATAATTCAAATTTTTTCAGTTGTGTGGGGCAGGACTTCCCTGGGTTCGGTAGCAGGAACTCCTGCCATTGGTGTTTGGTAGAGCTGCTCGGTTCTTTTCCTCACATGCAGACCACAAGATTGTTTTGCTTGGTCTTTCTGCTGCAGCTTTCCTTCTTTCCCTGCCTCCTGGAAGAAGTGCTCTGTGTGCTTTTTGGTAGCTGGGCAGTGGTGGGAGAGAAGTAGGTGACAAAAGATGCCACACAGGTAATCTGATCTGATCTGGTTTGCTCCTTTTGCCTTCTCCCATGCTATTTGCCTTTCATCAAGAAGAGGGTTGTAGAGTTTTTCCTGCAGTTTTTTTTTCCCCTGTAATTCCATAGCTGAAAAGAGGGAGCTGGAAGCTCCGTAGCTTTGGCTGGAATTTGAGCCTCTCCTGGCAGAGCGACTCAAACACGTTGGTTGGTAAAGTGCCCTGAAACAAGGTCTTTTTTTCTGCCCTTCTGAGGTTTCAGCACGTAGGTGACTGGTTGTAACCTGTAGTGGGGTGAAGGGTGCTCTCAGTCAGCTGAGAAGCCCCGGTACGAGGCTGATGTTCCTGGGGCCTGGTGGGATGCTGCTGAGCTCCGTGTGAGCTCCCTGCAGCTGGAGCCCAGGTTCTGTCCCTGTGGGAGCTGCCAGAGGAAGTGGGGGGCTCTCCCCACCCTCACCCCCAGCAACAACCAGGGCTGCATTTTCCCTGTTCCTGAGTGACTGAGTGGTGTAAAGGCCACCCACAGCCTTTCCATAAGCCATGCACCTTTGAAACACTATAAAGAAAAAAGAGATCTACACAGACTAATATAATTTCTTTCCTTTATTTTCTTTTCCTCTTTTTTTTTTTTTTTTTTTTTTTTTTTGCTTGGAAAATATTTCCTCGCCGCGGGCTGCGGTGACAGCAAACATTCCTGCCGGGGCTGGCGTGGGGAGGCATCACCCTGCGGTACGGCTGGGGCGCCCGGGGTTGGCTCTGGGGCTACTGGGGACTCGAAACAGCCTCAGTGAAAGATGCCTTAGTTTTCCTTTTGTGACACTGATTTCGGATACCTGTGGAAACAGGACATGGTTAGCACAGGAGTGTGTGGTTCACCCCCCCATTAGCCTTCATTCTGAGATACAGGTAATGACTCGTTAACAAACCCCAGACGTACTCTGTCCACATTTCCTTGACACTGAATCTGAATATTGGTTGCTATTTAAAAAAGTACAATGTTTGATTTGTTGATTTAATCACAAAACAAAACACATGAATGGAAACACTCATTTACGTGACTATTGCTTATACACCTAAGATGAAGAGTTGACTACAAATGGCCACGCGTAGCTCCTTAATGAGAGAGAGTGTGTTCTTACTAAGACCATACCAAGGCAAAAAAACATTCGAGACTGAAATATACTGTGCTTGAATTCACCTTTAGGGTCTGGAACAGGATCGGGGGGGAGGAGCTGGGGTATTTAAGGGGTCTAATCAACTGAAATTTGGCTGTTTGCCTGTGTTACAATACACAGAGTTTATAAATGGAGGAGTCCTGAGGCTGAACACAGCTCTTGGTTAAGCTGCAGTGTTTTCTCCACTTAAATTGTATACTAAAAAAATATTTTTGTATGTATATCTTTGATACAATGTACATGTGATGTGAAGGGGCTTCTCTAAAAGGAATATGTAAACCGTTTTAAAAGAATTTCTATTTGTGATAATTTTATACAACATAGTAAATGGAGTGTTTCTGTTGAATATTTGTCTAACAAGCTATATTCTGGTAATATAGGGAATGTCTAATTCATGTACATAGTTGAACTTTAGAATTGTAAAAAAAAATTTAGAAAACAGGTCATTATGCAAAACAAAACCTGATTTTCAAATTTTCCTTTATCTTGTCTTTTAATTAAGATTTGGCGCTTAAGTTAAAACTCTAGGAATCGATTTATTTATTTTTTTTAAAAAATACAATAGCTTGTACATCACTGAAGACTTGCTAACTCTGAAAATATATAAATAATCTAATGTAATGTATTTTCTCTGTATATTCTGTCTATCTACAGCTCTGTGCGTAAGATTAAACACGCCTGGTGGAACCCAGAGGCTGTTGGAAGTTGTGTGTGTCTGCTTTTGGATGTGGTTGTGATAAAGAGCTCCTGTAAGTAAGAATGGGAGGGAACTGGGTCTCCACCTGAACAAAAAGCATTTGAAATTGAACAACTATTTCCAGCCAATCTGGTCTAGTGTAAGCGAGGATTGCGATGTTGAAGATACCGCTAAGTTTAGGGTTTTGCTTGAGGTGGTGCTGTCTTAGTGGGAAAGGTGAAAGCACATGATTTCAACATCCAGCGACAGCCACTGTCCTCAATTTTCTTACAGCAAGTCAGGGCAGGTCAGATGCTGTGCTGGTTGCTGGGAATGCTGCATCTCTCTTCCTTTCACTCACAGCCTTTAGTAGCGTTCAGGTCAGGCCTTTCAAAAATCCCACACTCCCCCTCATTTCACAATAAATCAACCAGGCAAGAATTTTTCCTCCCTCATTGAAGTTTTTAAGTGAAAGGGTTTGCTTTTTTTTTTTTTTTTTTCCACATACATGATAAATTGTGATAGAAAGCATTTAACAGTGTGCACTAACAAACTTATACAACATATACATTACATATATATATTTATATATATAGAATGTTCTATATACAAACATATACAACTTTTTAGATCTCTACAGACTACAAGAAAATTGATAATTATAGTCACAAGTGGTGAACTTAACAGAAATAGTAATTTATAACTGTCTGGAAATATGTAAAATATGTGAGAGTGGAAAGCAAGAGACAGCTGTGACCTGATGGGGAATACCAGAGAAAAGGTGCTTAAAAGTTTAGTATTAAAAATTGTAAGTTTGAGGGATGCAGGGTCTTATTTCTCTGTTGCATAAAAATGCAAATGGAAATCTACTGGTGGGTTTGTTTTGGTTTTTTTTTTGGCCCCCCTGGTGTTAAGCTAGAGCCTGTTGGCAGCCAGAGTCAGTCAGGCATTGTGTAAATGACTTGTTGAAGACACTTGTCTCTCTGGGTGTGCTGTAGTGATTAGCAATTAAAAGTTGCTCTTAAATTTTTACATTTCATTCTTAAAAGAGCGACTGGGCTCCAGCTCCTCCAGCCTGAAGATGCTGCCACTGGAATCAAGGTACGGGGGCTCTTTGCACTATTCACCACCCATGGGAGATAGATACAGCCAAAAACTCAGTAGCTTCTTTGTCATCCAAGTGACCCAACTGCTGCCTGAGCACAAGAGCTACCACTCGCCCAGGCTGCCTGCGTTACACCAGTTCATGGTGGAAACTGGTCCCACAGCGTACACTGGGAAGGGCCTTCCCATTTCCACCAGCTGGGTGGCAGAGGCAAGCGTAGCGCTGGGCACGGCAGCCTTGGCTTGGTATTAGTGAAAGCTGGTTCGTTTCTCTGTAAAAGCAGGAAAAAATAAGGTCTATGAAGTCGGTTGGAGAGTTTGAGTGCTGCCCCAAGGGATTTTGTTACCCAGAGACGAGTGGTTTTGGAGTACAGGCCAAAGCACAGGCAGAGTGTTTATTTAAACAAAAGATTGCTGTAATGTTGTTCTCATTTCTCATTCTTGATGCTGGTTCCAGTGGTGCTTCCTCACACCCTCAAGTCTCTGGTTCTGTGACGTGGCTGCTGGAAGGAGTTCCCCAACCCACCTCCTGGTGGCATCAGAACCGTGAGTTTGTTGTTTCCTCACACAGCTCCTGGACAACTCCAATTCCTTAATTCTCAGCAGAAACCTAGGCCTTGTTTCAGCTTTGACCTTTTTCCCAACACCTTTCTACAGTTCTCACAATCACAGAGCAGTTTCTCCTTTGCCAGAGAGGAGCTTGTTGAGTCTCATGCCCAGTTGAGCTAGATTTGTCAGGGCATCATTTTGATTTTTGCCCACTCAGAAATGTAAAAATCTTGGAAAGCGTGACATTCCTGTTGTGCTACACTGTGAACTAAAAATAGAACACCTCAGATCTGGTCCAACCCTTTAACTTGTGCAGCTGGGCTGACAGTGAAGCCAGACTTCTGGACTGTACAATTTCCTGGGCTCCATTTTCTTGTAAAAATAGGAAGGATGTGGAAAAGGCATCTTTGGGAGAGATCACCTGAACGCTGGGATGATACCAGCGCCGGTGAAGCTAAGGACTAAGGAAGTCAGGATGGGACCCCTTGAAGGGACAGAGGATGTCACTCTTCTACAGAAAATTTTTAAACTCTTGCTTTTCCACCATTTCCTCACTTCCCTTTTCTAATTTGAAACTCCATCCAGGACTTCAGTGCCTTGTTTCCAAGCCAGTCTTGGAGAAATTTCTAACTTAAGTTGGTCTGTGTGGCAGTGAGGCTCCTGGAGCTCCTGGGGCTGCAGCGCGCTCGCGGAACTAGGAATCTATTTGCACAGACAGGTCGGTTCTACTTACTCTTCTCTTCTGTAGCTGCAGGTTGGAGAGTTTTTCCACAGAATTCACTGTAGAAACCAAACAAGCCGCTCTGAAGCAGGAGCAAATGACTTTCAGCAGCGTGAGCAGAAAATCAATTGCCGCGCGCCCGCGGTGTCGTTTTCTGTACGTGCCAATTCTGCGCCCGATGTTGACAATTGTTTTTCATGCTCCTCCCCTGGCCCATCGTTTGGTCCTGCTGCTGTGATCTCTCTCCCCAGCCTTAGCAGGGGGGGGTTGCTGTGCAGTTTCCTTATTTCAGCCAACCACTTTGGAAAAATCACTGCTCTGCCAACTGCCAAGCAGCTTCCGTGAGCAGAACTCGCCAGGACTTTCCAACTCGTAGCCCTGCGGTTTCCCATCCTGCCTTTCCCAACTTCAGGAAGCCATTTCCTAAGCTGGTTTTCTATTCCTGCTACTGAGAAATAAGGCAACCAAGTGATACAGACACCACAGGGATGAAGAAATGCCACAGCCCCCTTCAAGGACAACCGAGATGAATCTAGAGCACATTTTAAAAAGTACATATAAGGATAACATGTCATGTGCTCTGAATGGCAAATAAACCATCTATGCTGATGTTTTAATGACATTTCAGATAGTGCCTGTCTAGCTATAAGAAAAATCTGTAAATTTTGGGTGTAGGATTTTGAAGTTATTTCTTTTTTCTGGTAGGAGTTAAAGAAAGAGCACTGATTTCAAGCAAGGTTTTTCAAGGGAAATAAATAGCAGATAAGAAAATGCAGCTCAACTCATTTTTGTGTTGAGAACGGTAGCAAACATGCTTGAAATGTACTGGCTTCTTGTAATGTCACTTTTAAAAAATAAATATTTTTTGCCATTTAAGTTTGTTTTGTTTTTTTTTTTTCTCAGAATAGAAATAAATCCCATTTTTCTTCGGTCACAACATGCTTTCTTTTTCTCTTTTTTTTTTTCTTTTTTTTTTAAGATGTCAATTAGTCATGCAAAGTTTTATAAGTGCATTAACATTCGAGTTTGTACAGAATATTTTTAACCAGACACACTCCCCACAGTTCATACCTACAGCTTCTGAAAAACTACATGCCACAGTGATGGTTGAGTTCCTTTTGGGAAAAAAATTGGCTACCGCCTGAGCCAGCTGTTGGACTAAGACCCACATGATTCCAGCTTCCATCCCATGGTCTGTAAAGTTTCTCCTTGACTCCCAACTGTGATGAATCCAAGAATAGTAACAGGAAAACATCTTCTAGGAGAAAAAGCTGTCTCTGGCCAGTGACTGGTAGATTTGGGAATGAACGTTGCTTCCCTGAACAGTGTTCTTAATAAAGCCACGAGCAACTTCTTTGAAAGTCTAAAACTGGTACCACTTTTTGTCCTTGTATTTCAGCATCACCTACAGAAACAGGGAACAAAGAAAGGGATGTAAGACACTGCTCTGCACAGGAGGTGTCACACACGACCTAGGCCCATGAGCTGTCACAGCTTTGTAAGTAAAAGAGGAAAACCAATGCAGTACTTTATTAGCAGTGTCATCAGGTCTTGATTCCACTGAGACCTTCTACTTAGGTTCATAACTGTTACATTAAAAAAAAAAAAGTGACCTGCTATTGCTGCTCATTACAAGATTTTTCCTGGGGAGTTTTAACTATTTTTCTTCTGCAAAAAGTACAGCGGTTTGGGAATAAGCAGGAACTTGTTTTTTTCCTCCTATAGGAAGAAGCTTATCTCTGGAGCACAGCAGACACATCCTGAAAAATCTAAACTTCTTGCATTTCGGGGCACGTTCTTTCTGCATATTTTTGCCTTACACTTACAAGAGCCAACGGAAATGCAAAGCCTTGTCCAGAGATGGGATGCATTTTAAATGTAAAAAAAATAAATAAAAAAAAGCATTTTGGGAAGTATTCTTTAATGTTGTTTTATCTGCAATGAAAATCACTTTAGCTGATTCCCAGCCTTAACAGCGTGGGATGGAAAAGCTTTCCATTTCCAGCTCCAAGCACAGAAGCTGTCTATTCCAGACGAGCCCTATTCTATATAACTGTACACGGTGTTATACTAGAAATGTTCTCCTCTCCTTCCCAAGAAGATCTCTGAAGGTTCCTATATACACATCCACCTACCTGTTTTCTGCCCTACCGCAGAGATGTGCTGCACTTAGTGCCTTAAAAAAACCCAGAGTGAATTAGTGAGAAAAGTGAGAGATGAGAAGTGCCATGTTCTAAATTCAGGGGCCAACAATGGATGCTCATTTCTGAAAACAATGAAGGAAGGGGTGTGCGAGGGGAGTTTATTTTTGGCACTTGCATTGTTTGGGAGCAGGAAAAATGGCGTGTGGGTTAACAGGAGTGCACCTAAACCAATGGGGAGAATGGGGAGAACTGTGCCCCTACCTCGTGTGCATGTTTGGAAAACGCCTCGGCGCTGGCCATCATGCTGGCAGTCCTTTCATCCAGCTCCCCCAGCTTCTGTCCCCTCTCGTCGAGGGCGATGCGGGCACGGGTCAAGTCCCCAATGACTCCTCCTGCGGCTCCTCTCACACCTTCAATCCCCCCGGATCCAGGGATGTGCTGGGCAAGACTGCGAGAGGCTTTTCCTGCCGTGGCCTCACCAACTGCCAAGGAGAAATGGAAAACCAGCAGGAATGAGGAAGACTTTGCTCTGGGCACCAGCAGAGCGATAGAGCAGTCAGAGCTGCTCCCCCCAGCCCTCCCCATTCAGAGAATCATAGAATCGTCTAGGTTGGAAGAGACCCTTGGGATCATCGAGTCCAACCATCTACCCTACTCTACAAAGTCCTCCCCTACACCATGTCCCTCAGTTTCTCAACAGGAGCTGCCCAGGTGAGGGACTCCTGGGAAGGCAAATGAGGACCCTCCCCTTTCTTCATGCTGCCATCTTCATTTTTTCATCAATGATCTAAATCTTGTGTACCACTCCATTCCCAGATGACAAGGGCAGGGGAAGCCCATGAATTAATTTTTGAAAAAAAAAACCAAAACCCTAACCAACCCAATAAATGACTTACAAAGCTCCTCTCTGTCAAAAGCTTGTCCGCTTCCTCCAAAAAGTCCTTTGAGAAAGCCTCTGTTTTGGGCTTCTGGTGTTTCCACAGGAGTGAACAAATCCCCAAGCATGTCCTAGGCAGAGTCAGACAAAAGCGCGTGTGAAAAATTAGTGAGGTGAAAGCAGTTCTAGGTGGTTGCTTTATTTGCATTAACAAGCCTCGTGCATTGGATCTAATCAACTAGCTCTAAAAGAGGCTGTTGTGTTAACAGTACTGAGTACTTAACACTGTGTTTTGTGACAGGCAAACACCTGAGCTAACTGGATTCACTCACGCTTTCAAAGGGACTTGGTTTGTCACTGCCCTGTCTTACATTCATTACCACAGAGAAAAAAAAAAAAAAAAAAAAGCAATACAGAGTGAAAATATCATTGATAAAAATCACTTAGAAGCAGCAGAGGTGACGCGATAATGGAATAAACTATTTGTTGTGAATGATGTGTTTCACTTTAGTGATTATCCAGGCAAGCAGGGCAGGCACTCGCTGGTTTCTCTCTAGAGCGTACCCAGGTTCAGTGCTTGCTAGCACTTCAGAGAGTTTGGTGGTTTCTTGGTTTTGTGGTTTGTTTTTTTTAAAAATAAAAATCCCCATCACCTTCCATACAACCTCCCCCCTCCCTGTTAGGGTGCATTTTGGCAGTGCCATCAGCAATGCTCAGTGAGCACGGCTGAAGGCACGGCCACGGAGCCAGATCTTGGAGCAGTCGACCCCAGCAAAGCTCAGGCTGAGATTTATTTGCAGCGGTACTGGGAAAAGCGGGCTCTCCGGGATAAAACCAATAAAGCAAGCGTGCAGTCCCATTAGTGCTAGAGCCCAGTGAGGCTTTGCAATGAGAACAGTTGCTGCCCTGTTGCTCAGCTCCGTGTTTGCTCATCCGAGCCTCAACAGGCAGCTCCAGCTGTTGTGCTGCACAGAGCACTGTGCTCCCGGGAGGCTGAGCGCGGGGACGGTGACGTGACTGGCGCTGACTGCGCCTCTGCACAGGCACCTGCTCTGGGGAGAAAAATTACTGCAGCCCTTCGAGCCCAAGCGGAGGCTGTCGTGCAGCCGGGCTTGTTTTCCAAGGCAGCAGGTGATCCTGGGTCATCTGCTGTTTGTACACACCTCGTGACTCTGCGAGCCTTTCCCTGCCCTCCTTGCATCCCAGCCCAAGGTCTAAGCAGCCACAGTCGGGCAGTACAGACAAGCAAGGGCTGCGCTTCCCTTTGCTTTGATGTTGTATGATGCTATTAAGGTTAATAATAATAATAATAAAAAAGTCATCCAGTTTCTTACAGCCTCCCACTGTAGCTCCATCTTTTAAGATACACGGATCAAACCTTTTGATCATTTTAAAATTGGTTCCCAGTAAAGGACTCTTGGGCGTGCAAAAGCTTGTGTGCAACGTTCCCTCCTCACAGTGATTTTCAGACTTGAGACAGACAGTGCTGTGATGTGAGTTGAGCAGCTCAGCACATGTTATTCCCTAAGGCATAATGAGTGCTGGCAGGACCATTTCTTTTATATTTCTATCCTAGTTCACTGCTAATTATATAACCTAGAACTTATTCCCCCCCCTCTTTTTTTTTTTCCTCTTTTATTACTCGTGTTTCTCCCTGTAACCTCTCACAATTCCTCCTCTTCACAAAATGACATTTTAATTTGCATTTTCATTCCAAAAAAACCCACCCAACCCAAATCTAACATTGTAAAGACCTTTGGCTTGAAATAAATTATTTTAATTAGACCATTTCTGTAGCTACTGTATTTTAATGTACAATGAGATGCTTTGCTCACCTGGAAGAAGGGGAGTACCAATTACTGGAGTAAAAACAATGGTAAATACTTAAAAAAATATACTAAAACAGAGCATATTTTTTGATACTAACCACACTGGCTTGTCTCATGCTCCCACCTATCTACTGAAAGCTGCAGATATAATGATATTTTTAGAGTTAAAATAAAAAATGATAAAAACACAGGAAGGAATTCATATTTTCACTGAGGCACTGTGTGGTTAGACACGTGCTGGTGCCAACTGCTGTAGCTGCTCTCCGTTTGTACCTTCCCCTTCCTTCCCTTCAGTCATTTTTTTACCAGTTGGCCTTTCCTAGGGTAGGCCTTTGGAGGGAAGCAGGCTGTGGGCTCGGGCACACAAGCAAGGTGACAAGTGTCACAAAAAAGTCCAAAGAGTGACAGAGCTGCTGACCCACCTCTGCTGCTTTGGCATCCTTCATCCAGGACAAGAGGAGAGGAACATGACTGTCCTGCTCCCGCAGCACAGCCTTCGCTTCAAATGCAAAAAATTACTAAATGCTAAAATGCTCCTTTCCCCCACCATTTGACAACAACTTTCCACCTCTGGTAATGCCACTGTTACTTATTTAACCCTTTAAAACATTGTCTTTTGAACAGAAACTGGAGACCGGTACGACAATTTTGAGCAATCTAGCAGTAAACCCGTGGCAATCTACATCTGATGGGTCAGGCCACACAAACACAAAAGCAACAAAGTAAGGGTTGGAGTCCTACCTGCAGGTTGTCACACATCTCCTGGCTGTAGGTCAGGCGCTGGATCTCTGTGGGAGAGCTGAGGTACAAAGCTTGCCCTTCGTTGGTGAAACAAAAGGTCCGCGCTATCCTCATGTCCGTCACCGGCAAATAGTTGATGTCCAGCAGCGGGCGAAGGCTGGGCAAGCTGAAGAGAAGCAGATCCCCAGGTTAGTCACCGGTTGCCACGCGTGGTATACCTGCCCCGTGCCTGCATTTTAAACCCACATATAACTTTATACTTTTCATAAAAAAGGGTTAAAGTGCACCTCTAAGCTGAAAGATTCTGCCATAAACACGCTGCCTTCCCCTCACACTTTGTTTCCCCACATGGAGAAGTTTCAGCTGCCTTCCCTCAACGGCTCCTGTTACCCTCTGGATTCGGGATGTGCCTGTGGCACGCAGCTGGGCAGCCTGCAGGGTCAGGCCTGCCCGCAGCCATGGCACGGGCAGCTGCGGCAACGGGCAGGTGGCTCCAGCGTTGCCTTTGCTGTCCACCAGCTTCTCCTGGTTCAACATTTGGGATGGCACCTCCCAAAATGTAAACGGCCCGGCTGGGGAGAGGGGGTGCGGCAAGCCGAGGGCATGGCTCGGGGGCTACTGCAAAGTCAGCTCGATGGTGGAGATGATAAGGTGCTCTGAGCTGAAAATCTCCTGAAATGGCAAGAGTGGGACTTGCTACTCCACACTGGATAAACAATAAATACCCTTTCTATGCCCAACTTTTCCTATACTCCTCTATACCTAACAGCATAAATGAGCAACATTATCAGGGTTTTCTTTTATGGTGGTTCAAAATCAAGTGCCACCAACCGTCAGGGGTGGGGGATAACTCTGAGATAAAGGAGTTTGCTTTGCTGTGCAGCTGCCTGAACTCCCCCTGTGGAGACAGAGGCAGGGCAGCAGGCAGGGCAGGGCACTCAGTGCACCCCCTGGGCAGTCAACGCAGAGCGCCAAGCGCTCTGGAGCAAACACAAGCAGACCGTGAGGGCACCGTGGCACCTCTTAGCTTAGTTTTGCCACAAGATTAGTTAGATAAGTACCTCAGTGTCATGATGTGCCCATTGGCACAAAAGCACGCCAGACAGACGCTGTTACAGAGGGTGACCACATCTGCTCGCAATAAAAAGGACGTTTCGGTGATGTTGTGGACATAAAGACATGTTTGGGAAGGCAATGAGAAGACTTTGGCTTGTTTTTCTGAACAAATGACTGCAAATTGATGATCACCCATATCCTGGGAGGAGGAAGGGGAATGCATGACAAGTTTCCTTTTTCTTGTTTTGTCACCGTCATCAGCACTGTGTGGGTCCCTCCATACTTCATAGGGTGGATGTGTCAACGTCCCCACGCAGTCCAAGCAGGCGAAGGTCAGCACAGCTCCTTTCAGCGTCAGGACTGTGCCTGCAAAAATACAATTTCCTCTCACTGGCACTGGCACCACAATTAAAGGGGCTGTCAGCACCGCGAACGCGTGCAGCACGGCTGACATTCAGCTTTTGTAAATAGAGCAAACAGATTAATCTAGCTAAGGTGACAAGCCTTCCTCGCTCACTTCTTCCTGAGCACAGAAGGTGGTGAACAAACAGCCTGCCAGTGCTGGAAAGGTCGCAGGCAGCCTATATCAAGTAATCCATATCATACAGGCTATCAAAGATAGGCTGTTGTTTAACTCCACATTAGACTAGCAGGATATTTACCCCCCAGCAATAAAATCACTCTCCTTAGTCTGGAAGTCCAAGTCTTCCAGCATTGTTTTTCTAAAAAAAACAGGTGTGGGAAACCTCTATTCCTGCGCATCCTCTGCTTTTTGTCATTATTTTATTTTAAACATACTAAGCGCATGCTGCCTCTCCTCAGACCTGACCTCTCTCAGCTCTGTTCTCTCTGCCACACCATCTGTCACTCACTCAGCCAAGGAGCTCTCCGGGTACATCAACCTGCCAACGTTTTTGTTTCCTTTCCTGAACTCCCTTCTGCTTCCCTGCAGCTTTCTGATAGTGAGACAGCCAAACTGTTCGCGGCATCTCAGACAGGACTGCAGCAGAGCTGTACACGGGACTGTAATTTCACAATATAGAATCATAGAATCATAGAATTGCCCAGGCCGGAAGGGACCTCCAAAGGTCATCTAGTCCAACCTCCCCGCAGTCAGCAGGGACACCCCCAACTAGACCAGGTTGCCCAGGGCCTCGTCGAGCCTCTCCTTGAATATCTCCAGGGAAGGGGCCTCAACCACCTCCCTGGGCAACCTGTTCCAGTGCTCCACCACCCTCACAGTGAAGAACCCTCTCCTCATCTCCAGTCTAAATCTGTTCCCCTCCAGCTTGAAGCCATTGCCCCTCGTCCTGTCACTGCAGGCCTTTGTAAACAGGTTCTCCCCAGCCTTCCTGTAGGCTCCCTTCAGGTACTGGAAGGCTGCTATTAGGTCTCCCCAGAGCCTCCTCTTCTTCAGGCTGAACAACCCCAGCTCCCTCAGCCTGTCCTCATAGCAGAGGTGCTCCATCCCCCTGATCATCCTTGTGGCCCTCCTCTGGACCTGCTCCATCAGGTCCATGTCCTTCTTACATTGAGGGCTCCAGACCTGCACACAATATGAAGGAACTCTGCTAATTTCCCCATTATGACAATAAATATGTAATTTTGCCCGTGACACAAAGCTTCAGAACGACTTCAGCCAAAGTGACTCAGTTCATGGAGCTGCAAGTTCTCTCACAAGCATCTTTATCTCCCTGTGCATCCTCTACGTGGTGAGTGACCGCTGCTTGATACATGTATTGAGAAATTTCTGCCCCAAAGGCCATACAAAATCATGCAGTTATTCCCCCTGTTGTACCAAGAGAGATAATAAATAGGAAAAGAGCTGCACTCTTACCACTCGGCGACACCATGACCGGCTCTGACTGCCGTAAGTCGTCACTAGCGGGCAGGTTAAGGGAGAGGATTAAGACCATACCGAGGCCTGTTCCGACCCAGAGACAGGGGGAGACAGCGGAGTCATTCTTTCGGGCAAAGGACTCCATGAAGTACAAAGCAGTGATTGCCTCCTTCGAGTCCCTGTCGATGCTGGACACGCTGGAGCTTCGGGAACGGCTGAAGGAGTTTTCCCTATTTTCTGCATAAATAAATAGAAGCAAACAGGCACAAGTTGGCAATCCTAGAATAGGCACGAGCCTGCAGCAAACACAAACTCCCTGTAGAGTAGAGAAAATGCAGAGTTTTTGTAACCTGAGCAAACACTCTGATACTAGCACGATACCAGCTTGCTGCCAGCGTATAAATCAGTGTGGAAAATGCTGTCAGACCTCATCAGTTAGATCTGCATTAGAAATAGCTGCTTATTATGGAGATTAGCACAGACTAATTAGAATTTACAACAGCCTTAGCTCAAAGGACTTGTTCTAAATAGCATGAAATAATTTTAGACCCATATGGTACCAATGCATTTAAAATTAATCCATGTATCTCATTGCTGCAGGACATGAAGGGAGACGCCATCACCAACTTCAGAGCACGTGTCCTTTGCTCTCCTCTTGTCCCCATCGCTAGGACGTTCCGGCGCTGCCTTCACAGCCATCGCTCATTGTCAGGCTATTTATAACGGCTCTCTGGGGACAAGACACCCATTGCTAAACTGCTCCCAGCATCCAAAACTTCTCAGGGTAGAAATCAACTCAGGCTTCCTGGGGAGTGAAGTGAGGAACCAGCTCCTGTGCCCTTGGCAACAACTGCATGGTGAGCCAGCACCGTTCATTTTTCTGCCTAAACTTTAGCAGGCAACAGCAAGGGGCAGCTGCAGACGGGGCCGGATTGTCCTCACTGCAAATACGGAGACACTCTCTTGAGCTTTTCGGAGAGAAACAACAACAAACAGGGTCTGACTGCTGTAGGGCTAAAGATCTCTGCGTCGCTTCGCCCAGTGCTGGGCAGGATGCTGTGCCAGGGAGCTTCTGGCAACAGCAGACACTGTCGGTGGCAACACACTGAAGCTAAAAAGTTACTGCTGGAGGGAAGAAGAGAGTAGGGTTGGCTGCTAGAACAGCCTTTGCAAAACAATCTGTGCCAGCGCTGCTGTCTACCAACCAGGAGGAAAACTCACATGGCTCTTCTGCAACAACAACAAGAGGACCGGGAGGTTCTGGAGATGGAGAAATAATTGAAGCTATTGGATCTGAGATAAAAGGCTCACTTCTGAACCCATCACTAGGAAGTAGTTTGCTGTGAGGTATGAAATAATTCTTCTTACAGCTCAGAAGAGCGTGCTGTCTCTTCAGAGCCAGTAGAAATGTCTAGAAAGAGGAATACTTTCTGCCACGGTTGAAGAATAAAATTAGAAAAGGACTTTCTCACGTACTCCAACTTGAAACTGGGCTAAGCCTCATAGTGTATCTATGGTTCCTGCTCTCCAACAGAAGCAGCAGTTTTAGCTGTTGAATCTCTTCCTCAGACAACATATTGCAGCATTGCATTCCCCTATCCAGATGACTCGGTGTAAATTGCTGAAATTATCCTCTTCACAGTAACTACCTGGGAAAGGCTGGAGAGAACCATGGCAAAGCACTTCTGGAACCACAGCAAGCGTTGCCACATACACCATCTTACAAGCCTGCACACAGGGATGGGGGAAGATTTTCCTGCTGCTCTTTTATGCTTGGCCCAGCTTCCATAACTTATCCAGGGCATCTGTAACTTGTCAAACTGGAACTTTACGGGACAGCAATCCCTGGCACTTCAGTCCCACTCTCATGGAAGAGAAAATTACATCTACTTGAACTTTCGAGCACTGCCCTTACCCCATTTCACCTTCTTCATGTAGGCACTGCTGTAGCTCTCGAGTTCTGGCTCAGTACTGCTAAATATATCTGCATCAAACTGGGATTGTTTATTCATGCGCAAACACAGCTTCTAATACCTTGAGCATTAGTGTCTCCCACAACCCCAAGCACTTTGTACTCCTGCAGTGGAGTGGTTGACCCAGCTCCTTCCTAAGCACAGTGACAGCTACCAGGTAAAAAAGGCAAAGACAGCAATTTCAAGGCGGAGATCGTCAGGGCTGCACGTACATATATATGTTTCCCCCCACAAAAGGGTGCCTACCTTTAAAAATATGTTATTATGTAATTCATTTTCTCTTTAACAGGTGTATTAATATCACAGTCACATAAAATTCAAATATGGTGGTGCTCAAACCGAAAAAGATGTTGAAAGGACAAATGCAGTTAGTGTAGGCGACACACACAGAACTTAAAATATATAATGTGCCATTTGCATGTGTCATCAAGCTTTCTCCCTCCCTAAATTAGCAAGAAATGTTCCTCACTCCTGTGCAGTACAGTTAACTAATACATCTTTGCAGAACTGACACTAACAGATAAAATCTTTGGGACACTTTTGGGAACATACTGTGCCATTTTCTATTAAATACACTACTCAAACTGAAATTCTAAAAACGAGCACGACACATGTCAAAATTTGATGTCATTAAACATATCTGAACAGCAACCCAAAACCTATGAAGGACTGCAGTCACCATGTGACTCTATTGGCTAGCTCTAAAGCCAGGCAGAAATCTCTCCTCTTCCTAGATTTCAAGGTAAGATTTAGCTTAGCCCTATTCCCTGGGATTTCCTTCTCAAAGAGATTAGACCTCAAATTCTCTATTTAGAAACCACTCCATTGTATCCTAGAGAAACATAAAAGCACTTTCTTCGGGAAATTTTAAAAACTTGCTATATCCTTTCCTAGCATGATTGCTGTTTTAAAATTATGTCCCGTGTGAACACTGCCAATGTCTAGCAATCCTCAATCCAGTTGTTAATAGTCTGGGTTTTCTCTTATATTTTCCTTTTCTTGCACTGCTTGACAGCTGTAGCAAGAAAGTCAGCTACCACATCTTTCTGCATGAGTCTAAACCAGAGCCATTCCAGGTACTCCCTGTAACCTAGGGCCAAACAAAGTTTATTTGGACTCCTTTTGCTTCAGCAAGGGGACAGGATGTTCATATGTGAAAGGCAGGTACTTCTGCTCCTCAGTTCTGTTTCCCTCTTCCTCTGCAGAACATCCTGCTACATGACATTTTCTCATAAGTGTGTTCCTAAACCTAAATTGCCTCCTGCTTTGAGGGAATCCAGTATTTCCTTTTCTCTGAGGCACATGTTCAGCCCCCATGATCCCTCTGCTCCCACCCAGCCATTTCCTTCTTCCTTTTTCCCTTGCAGATCTGGATTTGTTGGCTTTTCTTTTTTTTTTTTTTTTCCAAATAGGTCTCCAGCCTGTCTGCAGCTAGCAGCAGAGGAGCTGAGAATGCTGCTAGGGGGGCCCAGTGTCCCCTAAGAGCTAATAAGTGGTTCTCTTTGGGAGATACTACTATTCAGCCTGTTAGACTGTGAACAGCTCTGAGCAAAAACGTTATTATTTGCAGTCAGTGCCTTTCAAAAATCTGCATTCCATGGATTAAGGCCACACAATGTAAACACTGCTGCTCTCCTACCAGTCGTCCCGCTTTCTTCAAGATGTTTTCATTCAGCCCTCTGTCCTGTGCATGGGTTGGGTTAGTGAGATGCGGATGGACACTCAGGAGCCAACTTCTGATTGTTAAATTCCAGCTATGAGCAGCAGCATACATATAGAAGGTGTCTGATGTAAAAGCAACAGCAAAACCTCTAACTTGCTACCCACCTCACTCAACAAAAACCACACGGGACACTTCAACTCACATGCTAGGATAAAAACAAAGCCAGCGTTTTTGAGTTCTTACCTTTGTTCATCCATGTGTGAGCAGTATAGAGACGCTCGTCGTGTGAGAATGTACTGATTCCGTGTAATTGCTGAAGCATTGCCCGTCTGGAAATGTAACCTACTGCCACAAAATCGCATGCATTGCAAAAGGACAAGAACAATTGAGCCAACCGTCATCATGACATTTATACGAAAGCAGCCCTGAGCAGCTACTGTCCTAGCTCTTGTCTTGTGTGACAGAGCTGTCCCGCTGCAGTGCTCTGGTGTCTGGGAGAAGACTTAATTTAGGGGTTGGGGGGGGGGGGGGTTCTGAAAATTTAAATTAAAAAGATAATTTGAGTAAACGATTCCCTGTATTTGAACTGTCACATTTACAGAGCACTCGCAGAGGGAATTATTTTTAACTTCCTTCTATTCAGTGGAAATAAAACTGGAATTTTCTCACTTTTCCATGGAACGTTAAAAAAAAAAAGCAAAAAGGAGGGAGGATACTAATGAAAATATTTCCGCCACTGACTCCTGCATCTTCAGGGGAATGTTCTGACATCTATATTCTCAACTGCAGCAAAGGCTCTGTAAAGGGGAACACAGCCTCACGGCTCTTCCAAGAAATTGTCATTGTGATTATTCTAAAAGAATGGATTTAGCACTAAAATAGAAGCATAAAGTAATTTTCTTCTTGAAGTTAGGAATCATTGAAATAAAAGTATTACTTGTTAGGAGGAATGAAAGAAAACTACCAGTGACAAAGATCAACATTTTCACTGCAAATGTTTACATTCATTAATTAAGAGTTTTGCAATTGACTGACAGTGTCTGGGATGCTATTTATAGGCCCTTTCCTGGTTTTAACATACCAAGTAATTGCTTTACTTATAAAACATATCCCAAAATCGACCTTTTTTGATATGGAAATTGCTATATTCCGGAAAGAAAGTTAAGTGGTTTATATTCTCCTCACTTGGAGATTTTGAAAAGTTTTAATCCCAAATATCAGACTTAACAGAAACTAACAAAACTATTAAAGCATTTGCCAGTTTAAGGATCATAATCTTAAAGTTGTAAGAGAAATCTATCACCTTTAAAATGATGAAGTTAGGAAAGCATGCAAAGCTCTGAACGTCAGTGTAAACATACAGTAAAGGAATGATCCTTCCAACATGAATTTGCACACACAGTGACATCGCAGAGACACAGAGACGGCACCGTATCACTGAGGGCAATGCTTCAGCAACACAGGGGAGAGAGGGGCAGGAGGTAACGCTGCAAGGTTGTCACACATTTAAGGACACTGCACGTTTACTTGCCTAAAAACACCTTCAAACACATTTTAACAGCACCACTCTAAAGCTGCATTCCACATAAAGCAATTCACTAGAAAGCAGCAGAAATTGTCTTAAGCACAAACAACGCAATAAAAATCTGGAATTTTGCTGTCATTTCCTACAGGATCAACTCAAATAATTTTCCCTAACACTATGTTGAAAAGCCCGTGAATATATTGCTGGCAGAGCATTCAAACCAGGGTGGCTACGTCTGCGCTTACACGGAGCTCACACCTGGGGGATGTTTGACCCTTCCTGGGAAAAGTTCTGCAATGTATTGTCCTGAAGTGGCTGCAGTTCCAGCAGTGTAACCTAAATGGCTTCACAGAATGACACTGACACAACACTGAGGCACATGATGGCAAATAAAGGCCCGAGTGAGAGAAAACAGATTCAAGTCACCAGACTTGGATCTTTATTTGATATTTCCAGAATATGGGAAAGTTCAGGCTTAGGTTTTAGTTCAGCATGTTTTTTAAAAAACAGAAGAGAACTGTTAGGACAGAACTATTCTTTATATTGAAAATGACATAGAAATAAGCATTTTTATAGAAAGATAAAAATGCGAGAGATCTTTACAGTAGGTAATCTATCAAACTTCCATATTTAATTGTATGAATCACTTCCCTTTACTTACACGAGCAAACTGTCTTCACATTGAGATTGCTAAAAGCTCAATTTGGATATAGGTTATAAGTTTGGACATATGGTTTTTTATCAAAGACATAACAATTCTCTAGAACTTAAACCCCAACCTAAAATAACCATTCTGCTGACACGTCTTTCATAACGTTGATGGTTTGGTAAAGAATGGTACGTTGTATAACTTTCATATGTGGAAGTACCCAAGAATAAGGAGGCTAGAAAAGGCATTATAGAAGAAAAACCTTGGGTTCATTCAATAACAAAGTCAAGCTAGTTAATATTATAATGAAGCAAGTGAAAGCATTTTAAAGGATTCTTCCCACCCCACCCTCCTTACCCCCTGATAGATGCGCTGCTTGTGTAACTGAAGTGCAGGTAGAAAAGCTTTGCTTTAAAAAAAAACAACCTTTGGAACCGCAATTATCACATAACTTGAACAGTCTCAGAATATTTCTATATTCTTCCCTAGTTCTCCATACACAACAGCCCACCATCTATTCCATTCTGCCACAGAAGTACCAGGAACCACCCAATGGTGTGTCCCACTTCCAAAAAGCTTTCAAAAATTATTTCAGATATAGAGAAGCAGTTTGTGTTGATCTGAAGCAATTGCTAGCAAGCAGAAAAATGCTAAAGTTGAGTATGCACTGCAAAACACATTGTCCAAATTCAACATGCCTAGAGTACAGTGTGAAATTAGCTTAACTTGGAATCAAATCATCATTTACATGAAAACTGACTAGACATTCAGTGAATGTAAGAACAAAATTTTCATTTAGTTGGTTGTTTTAAAAATAAGGACAATTTCCAGATTCCTTTAAGAAAACAAGTGGTACCTAACATCCGAGGAGATGACAGAAAATGTACTCCAAGCAAAAACTAAACACAAACTCTATCTAGCCGAATGGAGTTGGAATTTAGGCACTAGCAGTTCATATGCATCCATGCAAGGCTCTTCTCCATTTCTTCCCAGGCCTTTCCTGGCCACGAGACATGCTCTTTTACAAGGCAACCCAGTTGTCTTTAGACAACCTTCCGCCCCCTGGCTTCTTCTAGGGAGAGAGGGCGTTGCAAGCTCTGTTGTGAACAGATTTAAGCAGACACACACTTAACCTCCACTTAAAACCTCTGAGGGAAACCAGTGGTTAGATCTGATAAAGGTCATGATTCAGTCTAAATGACGACAGCTCCACTGGCTTTTTGCAGGCTAGTGATTGCAGCCCTCAGCAGAAAGTTGGAGGCCTTAAGCTGCAGAGACAAATCAGTCTAAAAGGACCAGCTCCATCCATCCATCCATCTGCATCTGTGGCCACAAGGTATAATGAGGAACAGCATTCTTCCTGTCTCCCCTGGAAGCTGAGTCCCTGATGCCTTTGATGCTCAGCTGTGAGACTGAGCCTAAGGTGCCTGGCCTTTCTGGTCCTATTTTTTATTTACTGCAGACCTAATATAAAATATGAGCATGTTCCAGGGAACTTGAACACCACTGCTAGGGTCTAGAAACTGCGCTCCCTCTTGCCATAACAACCTACTTTTTATGCATGCCCTCTCTCAGACTTCCAGGGCAAGTGCCATGCCCATGCCCCACTTATCTGGTGAGGACATGCACTCTCAGAGGCACTCTCCCTCAGACTGCATCCTACGGGGACGGATTGAAATAGGTGGGCTGAATTGTCCCTTACTCCTAGGACCAGTTGCCATTATTTTTGATGTCATATCACAGGCAGACTGGGTTTTATCTCACCTTTAAAAATCTCCCTACGGTTCTTTTCTAAGAGGAAGTAGGAAAAGAGAAGTTTTTAATTTTATTTTATCTATAGTAGAAAACAAGCACACACTCTCATCTCCACCATAACTGAAAAAGAATTTAACCCTATGGACGAATCACTTCTAGAAACAATTACAGAAAATGCTGGCATATCCTTCCTTGGAACACTTGCTTTTTTGGTGCGAAATGTTTTATTGTAGCCATACAGAATTTGCTGTTCAAAAATCTTTTGAGTTTGCAGTGCCTGTTAGAACCAGAAGCGTTGTGCTTTATCTAAATACAGGAAAAAAAATAGTTTCAACTTCCTAACAACTTCTTTTTTATTTAAATAAAGCTTTCTGCAGTAAGAAACAGACTTTCTAGATATAGAACAGTCTTCTATGCAACATTTTTATCTGCTTCTTTGCACAGGCAAGAAATACGGTGACAAACTGAGCAGTTAGTGGAGACTGTGTGGCTTACCATAGTGTCTCAAAGTTATTTCCTATTATGCTATTCTTAGTGTTAGCAGTTACAACAATGTAAAGTAACTTCAAATGCTAACAGAATTGAAATGATTTACAAGCAGAACCAACACCGTAAACAGCTCACTGAAAAAAAAATTAAAAAATTTCAAGCCAAGAGCTTTTCCATCTGCTACGAAAGCCTAGCTGTGAAAAGCCATGGCACTTAGGGGCCTTGTGAAGTGTGGTCCCATGATGGCTGTTACATGCCCAGTGGATCAGGTAAGTGTCAGTTTGGCTGGCTGCTTGGGCAAGGAAGTTTACCAGAAATGATCCACTCTGGAATATGGAGAGGTATGGCAAATGGAATGCGGTGGAGAGTACGAGCTGTTCTGAAAACCTGCCAGAGATGCAATAGCCTCCTCAGAGAATCCATTTCTGCAGTTAACTACCCTTGTGATCAAAATGAATCCTCTGCTGTCTCCCTCATGTTGTGCCTCTGCCTAAGTAATTTATTTCCATTACATCCTTTCCTTATCTCAGCAGACATGGACAGCAGGTTATTCCCTTCCTCTCTGCAGTAACCTGACATGCACTTGAATCATTTTTTACTTTTACTTCAACAGTTTTCTAAATCAAGCAACCAGGGTTTTTCTCTCTTTCCTTAGAGGCCTAGGAACCCCTACATTTGAAAACTGTAGTGATTGTCTTCTAGGCTGTCATCACTTAAGTTCACATCCACATGTGGGCTTCTGACCCAATAGACCCAAGGAAAAAGGAGCCAATGATAAAAAAACAGAAGTCTCCCTCTTCCCTCCTACCTTGCCATATGGGAATGAATCCTAATTGTCACACTCACTCATCCAGTCCAAAAAGACCCAATGTGCTCTGCATACAGCACTGCTGCAGACAGTGTAACAGCATTGCCATAACTGAC